CACTCAGTCTTCACTGTTCATGTTGCGTCTTCCCAGATGGGCCTATTTGCCAGAATTTATTTGCGACCTCCAAATTCACACTCAAGTGGTTATTTGTGAACAGAGGCAGAGTGGCGAGAAGTCTCAGTTGCCCGATGCACACGTTTCAGCTGAGATGGAACAAGGCAACACTGCCCTCTTGTTTCCGCTCTTATACCATAAACAAGCGTCCTATCTTGTTCTATTTAGTGCCATGCTCTTCACTTTTTTTGTATGCTTTTGTTGGGTTAAGTTCATTGCTTAAAAACCGTCCACAAACAGAGTATTTGGCCCCAAGCTGAAGTGCTGTTTGACATTCCTAAATGCAGAAAGGCTGCAAACGTGCCTTAGAGAAAAATCCCATGTTAAATAGGCTTCACTCAGGCACAAGTTACAATGCTGTTGGTACTAAGTTCAATGTTAATGAACCAAAATATATATTAATAAGATGTATCTAAGCAAAAACACAATCAAACAGGTTATGTGTTGATCAGGTGATGAAAACTTTGTAACAAGAGGAAGCCATGAGGGACCCAGTCCTTTATTCCCCTGGGAGCATTGGTTCCGTATTCGTGCGTTAGTGAAATCATGGCAACTCTATAGAATATACCGACTGTGAAAAATGAGGACCAACTGGACTTGATTTTTTAACTGGTGTCAGTGTTGGAATTGTGGGGATTGTTGGGGCTACAGCAGTAAAAGGCCTGGATGGCTCACTTTGTCCAAGGAGAGGACATGTCAGATAAGAGGAGGAAAACAAGAAAGGGGGAAAACAGCATCGCTTCAGCCTTGAATCCTGCAATGCTACAGCATGGGTTTTTCAACATTCTTCTCAAACATACCAGCTTTACTTTCCTCAGTGGTTTGGAAGGAAGGGCATATAGCCTGGAAGCAGACTCTGGAAGGTTCACCCTGAGAAACAGACTTGAAGGTGAGGGCAGACATTGAAGATGTGGCAGCAACCAGAGAAGTCAGCCATGAAACACAGGACTTAGAGAAATGGGGCTCAGAGTTGAGTATGGTACAATGGAGAGAGTGGCCTTTACTGGCAGGAGATACACAAGCGAACTCTAACTTGGAGGTGGCAATTCTCTGCCTTTACACTGTAAAGAGGCCCAGTAATTTTGGCCACCTTGCCAGGTATCTGGATGTCCATTGCAGGTCAGGTTGAAATAAGTCAGCCCTGGGGCTGGCACTATAGTAGATTAAGCCTCTGCCCACAGTGCTGGCATCCCATTTGGGTACCAGTTCGAGTCCTGGCTGCTCCATATCTGATCCAGTTCTCTGCTAATGTGCCTAGGAGGGCAGTGAAAGATGGCCTAAGTGCTTGGGCCACTGCACTGGCATCGGACACCTGGAGGAAGCTCCTGGCTCCTGGCTTGAGATTGGCCCAGCTCTAGTCGTGGCCATTTGGGGAATGAACTAGCATATGTTAGATCTCTGTCTCTCCCACTCTCTGTCTGTAACTCTGCCTCTCAAATATATAATTAAAACCTTAACCAAAAAAAGTCATTCCTGACACAGGAACCCTAGATCAGGCTATGGAGCTCATAGCCAGAAGACAAGGAGGAGTCAGAACCCTGGACAGCGCCACAGACCCAAAAACTGTTGGGTAATTGTCCCCAGAAGTGTGGTCTTTATCATTTTTATTTAAGGTTACCTTTTTATGTATTTGAAAGGCACAGTGACATGTTGAGAGAGAGAGAGAGAGAGAGAGAGAGAGAGAGATGGAGAGAGAGAAAGATCTTCCCTCTGCTGGGTCACTCCACCAGAGCCAGAAGCCAGAAACTCCATCCAGGTCTCCCATATGTGTGGCAGAGGACCCAAGTACTTAGGGCATAATGTGCTACCTTTCAGGGTGTGTTTTAGCAGGAAGGCTGATGGGAAGCTGAGGCAGGACTCCATCCCAGGCACTCCTAACTTGTGCACCACAATGCACATCCCTATCTCTTTTGTTTTTATTTTTAAAAATATTTTCATTTGAAAGGTAGAGACAGAGGAGGGAGGGAAGGAGATCTTGTATCCACTCATTCATTCCCCAAATGCCTGCAAGAGCTGGGGCTGGGCCAGGCTGAAGCTGGGAGTCCAGAAGTCAACTCAGGTCTCCCATGTGGGTGGCAGGGACCCAAGTAACTTGAGCTGCTCCCTCCAAAGATGTGCATCAGTGGGAAGCTGGAATTGGAAGCAGAGTCAGGACTCAAACACAAGCACTCTGATATAGGATGTGGGTGTCCCAAGCAGCATCTTTACCACTGCTTCATAGGCCCACTCTGCAGAAAGAGAGGTCCTCCATCCGCTGGTTCACTCCCCAAATGGCCACAATAGCCGGAGCTGTGCTGATCCAAAGCCAGGGGCCAGGAGCTTCTTCTGGGTCTCCTATGCAGGCACAGGGGTCCAAGGACTTGGGCCATCTGCCACCACTTTCCCAGGCCATAGCAGAGAGCTGGATTGGCAGCAGAGCAGCTGGGTCTCAAACCAGCGCCCACGTGGGATGCCAGCACTCAGGCCAGAGCTTTAACCCACTGTGCCACAGCACTGGCCCCCCAAGTCCTTCTGACCATGCCCATGAATGCAGCACCCACAACTGTAAATGGCCCTGGCACTAGCTTCCCTTCTTGGGAAAGGAGAGTCATCACCGTGTACATCCAGGTTTCTGGCCTGACGGAACGGTGGTCAGGGAACCTCTTGCTCTTGGGTCTCGTGGTGTGGCTGAAGACTGAAGGAGCAGTCCAGGCCTCCTGGCAATACCGTCTCTTCTTTCCCAGAGTGCTTTGCTTGCTTCCTTCCAGGGGAAGGGAGGGGCTCAGAAAGGACAGCTGAGAATGTCTTGTGAGTTTCTCTCCACAGACACATGATGCCACTCGGCTAAGAAGTAGTGAAGAAAGTCCCCATCCACTGTAGCCTTGGACAACACAGCGGTGGGGGCACAAGGGGCACAGCACACAGAGATGGAGATGGAGACTGGCCCTCATTGCTACGTCTTCTTATTCAAGCCTCAGCACAGTGGCTGGTGAGGGACAGGCAGCGAGGGCTGGCCCGCTGCACAGTGCCTCCGAATAGGCATCAGGAGGCCTGGACTTGAGTGCTGCTGTGTTTCTTTCTTGCTGTGTGTTGAAGACTAAGGCATTCAAACCCCCCTGGGCCTCTGCAGGCCTTGGTTGTAGAAAAAAAAGATGACAAAGTGCTTTGGCTGTGATAATTCGCAAGGTGTTTTTTGGGATCCAATGTCTGTATCTTTAGTAGAAACCAGAGTTCCAAGTATGCTGTGAACACTTTAGGTGTTTGTTATGTGAATGACTGAATGGATACACTGAAATCTGAACACCATGGAGCGCTGTACAAGTGTTTGCTATTTTACTGCTTTGAAGTCAGTTTTATCTGTGCCTAATCTGAGCTTATTCCGTGTGATGGGGAAACTTTTTAACTGTTGAGCTCATGTTAAAGTGAAGTAGTCAAGCTACTTTAGGAAGACAGGCTGTAAACTGCCAAGTCGGGTTTCACCTGTGACCAGGGACCTTGGGTGTGGCCTCAGTGGGGATTTGGAAGGAGTTAGGGGAAATACAGGAGAGCTCTGGGTGATTTGGAGAGGTGGGGGCAGGATTCAGAAAAGCCTGGAGAAGGCCTTGGGCAGACAGTGGGCCAAGGCTGGTTTTGACCAAAGGCACTGAGATGAGTTAAGAAAGCAGTACTGGGGCCAGCGCTGTGGTGCAGTGGGTTAAGGCCCTGGCCTGAAGCTCCAGCATCCCATATGGGTGCCAGTTCGAGACCCGGCTGCCCCACTTCCAGTCCAGCTCTCTACTATGGCCTGGGAAAGCAGTGGAAGACAGCTCAAGTCCTTGGGCCCCTGCACCCATGTGGGTGACCTGGAAGAAGCTCTTGGCTCCTGGCTTTGGATGGGTGCAGCTCCAGCCGTTGTGGCCAATTGGGGAGTGAACCATCAGACGGAAGACTTTCTCTCTCTCTGCCTCTCCTCTCTCTGTATATTATTTCAAATAAATAAATAAATCTTTGAAAAAAAAAAAGAAAGAAAGAAAGCAGTACTGGGGCTGGTGCTGTGGCATAGCGGGTAAAGCCACCACCTACAGTGCCAGCAACCCATATGTGTGCCGGTTCGAGTCCCAGCTGCTCCACTTCTGGTCCAGCTCTCTGCTATGGCCTAGGAAAGCAGCAGAAAATGGCCCAAGTCCTTGGGCCCCTGCACCCCCATGGGAGACCTGGAAGAAGCTCCTGGCTCCCAGCTTCGGATCGGCCCAGCTCAGGCTGTTGTGGCTGTCTGGGGGAGTGAACCAGTGGATGGAAGACCCCCCGCCCCCCGCTTCTGCCTCTCTGTAACTCTGCCCTTCAAATAAATAATTAAATCTTAAAAAAAAAAAAGAAAGCAGCAGTGTGTGCATCCAGAGGGTGAAGCTGAATGGTGAACAACTCCACTCTAATTAGAACGTATCAGAGATGGAATAGAACGTACAAGAAATGCAGTGGCCTAAAGACCACAAATAACAACCAAAAAATGTGGCCAATGTGGACTTCACCACAGTTACACAAGCGATAATTATTCCTTAGGTACTTCAAAGTCAAAAACACATTTCTCAGTTGCCTTCTAATTTCCTGGTTTATATTTCTAGGTGAATCCCACGACTTTTAGACTTCCTGTCCCAAGTAAATAAACACAATCCTTTACAGAAAACCTATCAGAAGGGAATTCGGTACGATGGCCCTTTTTTCTTGATTTTTATACCTGAGCTGAGTAGAACTAATGCTCCCAACCCGCAGGAAAATGAAGACCCACTAATAGCCTGGGGAGCAAGCAGGAGGAGCTGAGCCGCCTCCCAGGGCCTGCCCAGAGACACCGGCTCTCTCTAGCCCATGAGGCCATTTAAAGCTATCCCCGCCATGATGAGCTGCCTGCCAGGGGCCAGGGAGAGGCGCAGGGATAAGGTTGGGGGCTGCCCTCCTGGCCACACCAGCCCTGGGGGCGGAGCTACCTTTGTTGTCATGCCACACCCTCAGCTTGCAGAGGTGACCCAGGCTCAGCATGTCGGGGAAGCTGAACGTGTCCGTGTTGTTCCGCTCAAACTTGTTCCAGTTGGCTGACTGCTTCAGGGGCAGGGTCCCGCTGTCCCCGTTCTCCCCGAAGATGATGATGAACACGTTGGCATCAGTGCCTGCTCCTGGGGGTGGAGGTGCACATGGTAAGGCTGCAGACGCCAGCCTCTCGACACACAGTCGGCCTCCTCTGGCCTTGCGCCTGGACTTGGAGGAGCAACCGGGGTGGGGGTGCAGGAGGCCACAATTTAGAGCCAGCAAGGGCAAGGCAGAGGTGGGAAAAGCCAGCTAGCATGCTGGGACTTCCAGGTCTCCAAACGTATCTTTCACCTTGTGCTTTGCACATGCCGTTGGTCTGTCTGAAGCCGCAGTCAGCAAGCGTGGGTGGCTCAGTACAGACGCATCTATTTCTGGGGAAATGCGTCCGCACTGAAAAGGCTTTCCATGTGGCCTGGCCTTACAGGTAAAATGACAGGCCATCTCCTGTGCCCCGGAGGTTTAACAGGAAGCCACGTCGACTCCAATCGACTCCTACATGAGCACTTCTTGTTATCTACTTAAGACACATAGAGGTGCTGGTCCCTGTCAAACAGCAAACGCTTCTGGAAGAGATGGCCCTGTGATGGTGTTCTGATATACACCCTGTTATCAGTGGACTTCCCAATGCACATGAAAGTATGCTGGTGCTTGCAGCTTTAAACAATCAGGGTGAAGGCTCCCCCTTGGTGGGGGTTGGGGGAGAAGGGAGGAGCCTAAACAAACTTGAGCAGATTTGCTGAGTCATCACTTATGCCTGGCTCTTGGTCAGATTTGCTGACTCATCACTTATGTCTGGAGTCCTACAATTTCTTTGGCTAAGCACGTCTCTGTTGAAAACATAAGCTACCATGAACAACAAGGTAGTCCCTGGGAGTAAGTTTGCCAGATTGCTGGCAATGGCTCCCGGAGGGCAGGCTTGGGACAGGAGGGTGCAGACAGAAGGCACCGCCCCCAAGCTGAACGTGTGTTCATCACAGCTCCCAGCCTTTGCACACACTAGGACTTTGGCTTGCATGGCCCTTCCTCTGGTATCCCATATGCATAAGTGACTTTTGCATGCTTTTCTGGACTTGACTTTGACTTACTTGGGGAAGCCCCGCCCAAGCTCCTTGCTCCTGGTTCCCAGGTGGGTTAGACGCCCTCCTCCACGCTCGACCACAACATGCTGGGCCAGCGTCTGTCAGAGTCTCAGACCTGCAAGGGCTCTGGGGCTACATCCCTGCCCCACAGCCCAAAGCTGGCACATAGCAGACGGTCACCTAACACAGGGGTAGAAGACAGGAGCCCAAGGGCACCTGAGGCATGTGGCTCAGAGCTGGGCCATCAGGTAGAGCATGCTCTGAGCCAAGCTCCTGTACCATTTTAGCGAAGGGGTTCTTGCTGTCTCTGGAAGAAATATTTTGTTCAGACAGGAATTGACACCGTGACAAAGGCATGGATTGACAGCCTCTGGAGGGGCCATCGAAACCAGAGCCTGGGCCAGGATTTCTGAGTGGGGACAAGGATAGAGGCAGCCACGTGAGAGAGGCGTCCTCACTCACCCAGGATGTCACTGGTCTTCACTGTGACTGTGTAGGAGGTCCACTCCATCATCTCCTCCCCATCGATGACTGCACACATCTCGCACACCAGGGTCTTCTTGCCCTTCCGCTGGGACAGCCAGTCTCCGTAGTAGAACATGGTCAGATCTCCCGTGTTCATGTTCTTCAGTAGGATCTGGGGAGAGAAGGCCGGTGGGGAAATGCTCTCCCTCTCCTCCACCAGCCCCCTACTTGCAATGCAGCCCCTCCACTGAACACAGCGACCCAACACCCTGGATCTGAGACGAGCCCTTGTGACTCAGACTTGGGGTGTGGAATGGGTCCTGAACCCCATAAAGAGAACCCTGGCTTGGGGACTGGAAATCCTGAGAGGTGCCTATAGGCCTTTTCAATTTTTTGCTGAATGAGGGGCACAAAAGATGGATCAAGCCATTGTCAGCCACAAACTCCCAGGAGCAGGGTACTGACATCCTTGGTGTGGGCACCTTGTTGTTGGCATGAGGAAAACCTGCTAGTGGCTGAATGGGGAAAGCAGATGCTGAAGGGACTTGGCACAGATAGCGCCCGGTGGACCAGGGCAGTGTGGGCTGACCAGGCCGGATTGGCAGGCTTTGTGTTACTGGTTGAATTGTGTCCCTTGCAAATTCACATGTTGAATTGCTAACCTGTAGTCCCTCAGAACATGGTCTTGCTTAGAAAAAAGGCTGTTACTGGTGTAATTAGTTCACATGAGGTCATTAGGGTAAGCCCTGATCCAATATGTTCAATGTCCTTATACCTTACACCTGGGGAAACTCAGGCATGGACATGCTGTGTGAAGACTGCATAAGGCTGCCACAGGACAAGGAACCAGCAGCAGCTGGGAGACAGGCCTGGAACAGATGCTTCCCCCAGCCCAGCGAGGGAGCGTGGCCTTCCCAACACCCTGATCTTGAAATCCCAGACGCCAGAGCTGCGGGAGAACAAATGACTGCTGTTCTAAGACTCCAATCTGTGCGATTCGTCGGCAGCCCCAGGACCCTCATGTGCGTTGTACAGGTGAGCAGGTACCACGCCAGCACCACATGTGCTGGAGAACCCGGGGCTCATGGGACACTGAGGCCACATGTGTGTAAGAGTGACATCTGCCGTCATAGTCATTGTCCTGGCCATGACTGTAGGGCTGCATGAAGGCCCTGCTGGGCTGCCAGTGGTCTCCAGCTTCGGGCCACACTTAGCGCAGGAAACAGCTGGGCCTCCTGACTCGCACAGTTCCTACTATGGCTCTGGGCACTCTCCTCTCCATTCCAGAACAGTGAGCTACTTCATGACCCTGCTCTGGGCAGCCTCACGAAGATGAAGAAACCATGCAAGAGGGATCCTAAGGAGCAGCGACCTTCTTTTCTTGGGGGAACTCAAGTCTGTGGCTGTGTGTTTACACATGTGCATGCATGCGTGTGTACATGTACACACGCGTGTGTCTGTGCATGTGCAGGTGTGTGTGAGAGTGGGCAGGGGCAGAGGGCACAGGCAGAACTAAGGAACCCCAGGTTGTTATTGGCCCTTGAAGATCCCACGTGTCAGCTCCCAGGCTGCTGTCAGCCCAGCTGCAGGATCCGCAGCTGGAGTGTTGATGGCTCTGACGCCTTCCCTGGGAGGCAGCAGAGGCCTGAGATGCAAAGAGCCAGCTGCCTAAGGGCACGGTCACAGGAGCACAGATGCTCCCCTGCCGTCCTGACATTCCCATGTGAGAGCCTCTGTCTGTCCCAGGTCTTGGTGCTCCTTGCACAATTCTCCCCAGCTCCCATCCTCCAACAAGCCCACCCTGGGGGGTGGGGCCCTGACTGCAGGCTGGGTTCCTGTCATGTTGGCTGTACCTGCTGTGCTCTCTGGCAGTGACTCAGTTCTCACTGGACATGAACAACCAGAACTGTGCTCTCTGACAAATGCCTGCTAGAGGGCTGCTGGGTTACCCAGGATGGGTTCATGCAATAACCTTCTACCTAGGGTGACATTTGTGCTGTCACAAGGTCTCCTGACAACCCGAGAGACAGGAAGGAAGTGGCAGGGGCTGGAGGGGAGGGGAGGGGAGGGACAGACACCCTACCCTCTCCAGGAACCACTCGGGCCGGCTGCCCAGGCCGTCGATCCGGATCCGCATCTTGGTGAAGGGGGCGATGTCCAGGATCTCCATGAGGAAGGTGTCGTTCTGTTCCCGCTCAAACCTGGTTGGGGGAGAGGAGGAGGAGGAAGAGGGGAAGTTGGCCATGGCAGAGACCAGATTTGGGACAGGGAGAGAAGATGAGGCCTTTACTCAGCCCTCTCCCTGCTCCCAGGAACTCCCCAACAGCCCTTGTCTTTCATCCAGATGTGCTTCTGCAAGGCAGAGGCAGGCAGAAATCACTCTGAGCCAAGCACTGCCAGCTCTGAGTGCTAATCTCACTCTGCCAATCACCTACAACACAGTGCATCTCGGGACTTGGTTTCCTCATCTGTGGTCTGGGGACAGTGGCACCAGCCCTGCAATAGAACAAACCTGCCAAGAAGACCAAGTGGGTTTGAAATCAGCTTACAACATAAAAAGCACCCCATACCTGGAAAGCTTTAAAGGGGAGTCCATGAGTGACAGGGCCACCATGAATGGTAGGGCAGGTTGTGCACTGCACAACCATTCACATTTTGGGTTGTTGTGTTTTTGTTGCTGTTGTTGCAACCTGTGCACAGCCCAGGGCTGGGAAACACCACCGACACTGTGAAGCGGCGGGCAAACCGAAGGCAGCGCTGCTTTGTTGCTGTGGTTCTCTTTCTGCCGAATGCCCTCATCATCTCAGAGATGCTGTCTTTATTCCACGCTGCTGTCTCTGCAGCACCACGTGTGCCACGTGACCTTCCCTGCCGACTGATCGCTTGGCTGCTGGCTGGTTCCAGACGGCGCTGTTGATACGGCCCGGGGGGTAATGCCGCTGGCCCTGAAGTGGTGGTGCTGCGAGGCGACTGTTATGCTTCCTTGGATACAAGACATCTTTCCAGAAACCGAGGCCACAGCCAGTGGGGGACCGCAGCTGTAAACACTGCAAGTGGAGAACCCACTGATCCTAGTCGGAAAGGTCGGGTGGACGGAAACCTAATCTTTGTTGACAACTTGCTCGTGCATGCACTTTAAGATCATTAGAAGTAAAACCAAATTCTTCCCCAGTGTGTGCCCATCCCTCCTGCTGTCATTTAAGTCCTGCGTTTCCCTCTGCTCAGGGAAACAGCAAGGAGATGAGCATGGCACACACAATGTGCACTGAGACCCTCTCACCTCACCTTGCAACTCATTCCCTCCTTACCACTGCCACGAGGACAGTTCTTCAAGCCGGAAGAGCTTTAGAACTCCTCGCCTTTCTCTTTCTTTAATTCTTACCCTTTGAATTCAGCCAAGTAGCTTTGGTTTCTGGAGGGTTTTTTTGGTGGGACAAGTATAAGGAGGGAGAGAAACAAGCTTTTCCTCTGGACAACTGAAAGGTAGAAGACACTTGCTTTTCTCTCAGCTGGAAGAGCCACCCCTGCTCTCCCCTGGGACTCACCTCCAAGCCCCCCGAGAAGGACTCAGCCTCCCCTTACCCTACAGCCCCCAGAGATGGGCCCTCTCCATTATCAGAACTTTTTGCTAATCAGAGATCCTAAAATCCAAGTGACAAAGATGTGGAAGAAAGACTCCAGGCTTGCAGTCTTGCTACGTGACCATACTCATGGCCAGATGGCTCCTGACCTCCTGAGAGCTTGGTTGAAGTCTCCGTCGGGCCTCTGTTCTCAGCTTCCATTCTCAGCTCAGCTGCTTCTCCTCACGCTCTGGGTAGTAACCCTTAGCAACGGCCAAGGCCCGCCCTCAAGGGCACATGCCATACGACTCCACCAATGCCTTTTACTCCCAAAGAAATCTGTGGTTCATCAAGCCTGTCCCAGACCTAGGACTGACTCCTCGCAGGCATCTACATCCTGTCATGGACAAACCACACGCCTTCATCTACAAGGAGCTCACTGGACACCAGTTGCCTCAAATTCCATGCTTGGAGAATCTTCTTGAATTTTAGCATCATCTTAGGATGTGCGTGACAGTTTACCGTAACAACTTCCCCCAAACTGCAAGAGAAGTTCGGAATTTAGTTAGGGGGTAGGGTGGGGTGAATTGCTCCTGATCCTTTTAAGCTTTGGCCTCTGGGTGGAGCATCTGGGAAGCTTGGCGCTGCAGTGGCAAACACCCACAATGCCTTGCACATGTGCACAGGTGCATTTGAGCCTCTGCTCTGACCACACCTATTTCCTAGAGGAGCACCTCCTGGCACAGTAACAGGCTGTGCCTCTGATGCATGCCCAGTGGGTCTTTCTAGCCAAATGCCCCAGCTGAGATGCAGGCACCCTAAGGACCCCAAGACACAATGGAAACATCGGCCACATGCAAACACAAGGAAGCAAAGCATGCCTTGGGGAAGAGCTTTGAGCTTGCAAGCTAATTAGGAACAGGTAGGTGGTTCTCTCCACAAACTAAATTTGTATTCAAAAACAAAACAAAAACCTCTCACTAGCAACACACCTCAAAGCATTTACAATATGGTTGTATTTATAACACTGGCATTTTCAGGCAAAAATTTTAGAGTTTCGATACTCCCAGGGATGTCTACCTCTCCCACTAGCAGCTATGGTTCAGGCAGATAGAAAATCAAGGGCAATGTACCATGGGATAGTTAATGAGAGGAGACTCAAGAATTGGGGGTTGGATGAAGATGAGAATCCAATAATGAGGTGAAGACTCTAGGGGACTACACACCAGCCATGTGTGATCATAGAAATCTGTCACCCTTCTCCTCAGGGGTCATTCCAGGAAACCATACCCTCTACAGCAATGGGCCAGAGGGTCAGGCCTGGTCAATGGCTACCAGCTTCCTTGTTGTCCCCAACTCCAAAATGTAAGACCAACCAGAAACCCAAATGCACTCTAATCCAATCACACAAGATGCCCTGGTTCTGGCTAGCTTGCAGCTTCACTGTGCCAAAAATAGTGCCTTGTTCTAAAACTTTCCCACCTCAGGTAATGGTGGTTAACTTGATCTCATTTGGTCTTTATGTCCACAAATGCCTAAGTTCAAATCCCCATCCTTTCCTCACTACTAACTAGGTGACCTTGGAAGGTTCCTTTGTCTCTTTGTGCCTCAGTCCCCTTATTTTTAAAGTAGAGATGGTAACAATGCAGATTACAAGGTGATGAGTTAATGGATATTGAAAATTACTTATGATAGTTCTTGGCTTGATAAACATTAGCCTTATCATCATCAACATTCCTAGTTGCTCTGGGAAAGATTTCAGGAGGAAATGGGAGTTGTGCAATGAAAGCAGAAGTGCTAAGGGGAGGAAGGAAGGTGGTTCTTGTTAGACCTATGGGGATGAGCTGTGTAGGACAGATGAAGCTCCTGCTCTTAGAAGCTGCTCCTTTCAGAGAAAGAATCCCTGCCTGACCTTCAAGGGTGCAACATCCTCATTCCCATCATCTCCATCACCATCATCACCAATGTCACCATCCTCACCACATCCAGAAGCACTCACTGAGCACCCCTACATGCAATGCCAGAGTTAGGAGCTGTGCGGACTTGGAATGAGGCTACTCTGCATCCTGCCTTCCAACTGGGGGTAGCGACACTGTGGGTTCATGGGCAAGTGACTGTGGTGAGTTTTTCAAATTCTAGAGTTGGGCTTTGAGTCTGCTCCTCTGTTTTTTTTTTTTTTTGGATGTCGGGGGCCAGGGGCCTTTGGGGGACAACAGCTGGGCATGGAAAACCCAAGACCGTCTACACTAGGAATGCAATGAGAGGCACAGCTAGTAAATATTGCAGGAGTTCCACCTTTATTGCCACTACTCATCACGACCTTAAGAGGCAGTAGACCTGAGGCTTAGGACTGGGGGCCATCTGGGAGAAGTTCCCAGTGCCACATCTTATTGGCTAAGGGACCCACAGCATTATGGTGGAGGGGATCAAATGGTCCTCACAGGGTCGCAGCAAGGACTAGTGTGTCAACACATGGCTCAGAACAAGGCAGGGCACCAACCAAGCCCACACAATACTGCTGCTGCTGCTGTCCTGAGAAAGACACTCAGGGGACACAGGCACCTGCCTGTGCTCCCTCCAGTGCCTGAGTCAGAGCTTGGGGCAGAGGAGAGTCAGTCATCTGCAAAAGTGTTTTGAAAGTTCATCGCTTTCCATTTTTTCAATCATTTTGTTGTTCCTTGTAATGTCAACATCTTGCAATACCACAGTACAATGATGAAATTAACAATGATAGCATATTATCAGCAAATCTACAGAACTTATGATGAACATCCTCAAGTAACCAAATGAAATAAAGGAAGGAAATTGCTACGGACTGTTGAGATCAAGGAAGACTTCCTAGGAGAAGGTAAATTTAAGTCAGCCCTTGAAAAAGAAAGAGAGTGGGTTAAGGGCATTCCAAGGGGGAGGAATTGCATGGACCACGGTGTGCCTGTCGCATGCAAGGCACTGGAAGCTTCCACGCATGCAGAGGGTGTAAGAACCAGTATGGCTGAAGGCAGAATGGGGCAGAGGGTTGGGTGTGAGGAGGGAAGGATACCTGGCTTTCTTTTTGTCCAGCTGCACCTCCTCTGTGCTCCCATTGATGCCATAGAGGGTCATAAAGATGTTGGAGTCTGTGCCCCCGCCAACCACGTCACCTGTCCACACTGTCATTTCGTAAAGCACCTGCCATGAAAGAGACACGGGTTCTGAGCCTTGGCCTCACCTACAGTCTCAGCAGGGAAAGACGCCACACTCTTCAAGCTCTGTGGCTCTGAGAAGGACCCTCCTTGTAATCAAAGGTCAGTGATGGGAGAGCCCGAGTCAGGCCTTGTCACTCTCTGTTGAGTGCCAGGCGGAGCTCCGTGTCTGACAGAGGGCACTCTGGACAGTAGAAACATGACAGAAAGGCCCAGCACTAGCTGATTTTTGTCAGATGACTCCCAACCTCAGTCCATCCACACCAACAAAGTGTGGCAACGGGACAGGGGTCTTTGGAACCCTGTAGAACTCCACTTGATCCCAGACCTGCCACCTGCCAGCTGCTGAACTCAGGTGGGTGCCCCACCCTTGCCAGCCTCTGCTTCCTCCACATGGTCAAAGAGGGATGAACTTCTTTGCAGAGTCATGACAGCTGCAGACGACTCGCAGGGGTGCCCTGCGCCAGGCCTGCCACATGCAAGGCCTCAGAAAGCTGCAGAAATGCTGGGTGTCCATCTCCCTTTGTGCTACAGCTGTGCACACCCTGAGATCTGCGGGTGAGGACCTGTTGAGTGCCACTGGGGTGACAACTAAGGGAGCTCTGCCTCGCTCAGCCTGTGAAGTGGACGATGGTCTGTATGTGTGTCTTTCACATTAGATTGGGACTTTGCCTTTTTGCCTGTTTGTTCCAAAGAGGACGACATCCATCTCCATTGCAGGGCAAGGGAGCAGCCTGTCCTTCTCCGGGTGGCCTTCGCTCTTGTGGCAAGATGCTTCACCCACATTGCTATGCTGGAGTGTTCACAGGTTCTGGAGAGTCTCCCTCCACCCCTTCCTACCAGGGGCTCAGGGACTGCTTCAGGATCTGAAGGTAGGGGTAGGACTGGGGTGGGGGACTGTGCCCTGAACGTACCTGTCCTGCCTTGCCCTGCCCCTGTGGCTGCCACACCTGTGTCACCTGTGCAGGTGCCTGGTCTCCACCACCCAAACCTTGGGCATCAGAAACCATGGTAACTGTGAGAGTGGCCATGGCCTTGCCGTTGTGCCTCGTGGATATTTCCCACAGCGGCGTACAGCATCTTCTCCAGAACAAGGTTAGAATCATGCTGTGCAGGCCTGGCCTGAGGGAGCATTCAGGACATGTTTGCCAAGAGAATGGGTGCAGAGCCTCCTGCCTTACCAGGCAAATCCCCCTAGATATCCGACAGGGCATTTGTGATGGGCAGGGGGGACAACTGGGAAAAAACGTAGGAGCCTGGTCCTTTATTGCTCTTCTCCAAATGGGCATAAAAACTAGAACGATCAGAATGAGTGGCTGGTGGCCCTGGAGACGGCCCTGAGGGCTGCTGCCTCCAACCTGTGTTCTCTGCACTTTTCTTCCCTTTCCACAGACACGTCCCTTTTTATGTAATCAGTATGTTTCCAAAAAGAGATGGAAGCAGGGCTCCTGTAATTCGGGTCTGGGCTCGGGTGCCCTGGGGAGAGAACCAGTCCAAAGAGCTCTGTGGTTCTTTGTAGAGCAACAAACCTGTGTTCCTTTGTTCCATGAATAGCAGGGGCGTGGGTCTGGATTTTCCTGGGCCAGAGAGCAGGAAGCAGCATGCGGTGCACTGGGTGGGGCGGGCACATGTGTGGGGCGTGGTGCACACAGGCTGGGAACTGGGTCAGGGCAGAGGCCCGGGTGAATCCTGTGCCCAACCAGGCCGTCCATCTGGCCACAGATGGAGATGTCTGGGGGCAGGGGAGGGTGTCTGTGCTGCTAACAGTTCTGCTGTCCGGCTCTCCCGCAGGCGAAGGGCAGGCACCCACACTGCTGCTGCTAAGGCTTTCAGAGGCCAGAACTCAGCTCTCCCCCTGCCATCTCCATCTACAATGCAGCAGGACAGGCCCCGGCTCAGCTGACTTCCACTTACCTGTGTGGGACAGTCCACCGGTTTGGATTCAGAGACAGGGCTGGGGCTTTGTTGACCTCACAGTTGTGGGCTCGAACCAGGAGCCCATGGGGTCAGATGAACTGGAAGCCTTTGGGCCACTAACTGGCCACGTGTTGGGGGTGCCAGCACCCAGATTTTCTGCCTACTGCCTTGCCCTGACCAGTGAGTAGATACAACTTGTCTCAGGTCATTTGGTCAACTAGCAGTGGAGCCAGCATGGGAACTCTGAGATCCCACTTCTGGGTTTTCCAGGTCGGGAAGGCCTCCTGTGGACAGCATTTGCTGCACTGGGAGATCACAGCTCACAGTACCCAAATGCCAGCTTTCTCTGGGGCTGTCTCAGTGCCATGGATGGAACCCCATAGTGAGCCCAATGGTCTGCACGTCTTCACTGAGCTGTGACCTGCAACACTCTTCATGAGCTCTTGAGGATCCCATGGTCCTCACCAAGGTCTTCCAGGGAACAGACTGTGAGAAACAGGGAAGCACCATTCCCCTGCAGTGTGAGAAGACCACGGCCCAGAGAGGCAGCTGACTTGCGTTCGGAGTGTTCAGGCTCCTGCCCCCTGGCAGAGCAACTGGAGCAGCACAGCAGGTTGCAGCCCCTGCCAATGAGCCTGTGACGAGCCCCCTGCTCCCCTCTCTTGCGTCTTCCTTGCCATGCCCCCACCCCGACCTGCACGGTCCTAGCTGTGCAGTGCACACCCTCAGTGCCCGCCATACCTTCACCCCGATGTTCACCACCATGGCATCCAGGAGGTCGAAGACACGGGAGGTGACGCCGTCGCCTCGGTCCTTGGCGAGCCAGCAGTTACAGCGCAAGGTGTACTTGGTGCCCTGGGTGGGCACTGCCAAACAGAGCTCCTCCACCAGCCAGCAGCTCTCGGGGGAGGCCCCGTCGTGGCCCAGCTGGGAGGGACACACCAGGCCCATGAGGATCTGACCACAGCACCATGCTCAGCTTCCCCATACCAGTCTGGAGCCACCCTCAACGTGCTTCTTCCAGTATGCTGGGCACTTACTGCCTCTAGTGCCTCCCATGAAAGAGGAGAAACTTTGCAGAGGGTAATCAAAGTTCATAGGGCAGGCATCTGGCACAGCTGTGAAGATGCCCTGTGGAACCCCCACAGCCCGAATCAGAGCTCCTGGATTTCAATTTTTACTCAACTCCCACTTCTAGCTTCCTCTGATGCACACCCAGGGAGGCAGCAGGTGATGCCTCAAGGAACACCTGGATGGAGTTCCAGGCTCCTGTCTTCAGCCTGGCCCAGCCCCAGCTGTTGCTGGCATTTAGGGAGTGAACCAACAGATGAGATCTGTGTTGTGGCGCATGTGTGTGTGTGTGTGTGTGTGTGTCTGACTTTCAAATGAATAAAACAGAATAATTAAGGTCTCTAATCAGATGGCTTTGAGCTAAACAAGAGATGACTCTGGGTGGGTGAGCCCTTTAAGAGAGAGTTCAGACATCAGAGCTGGAAGAAGTCAGGGAGATCCCATTGACCTTGAACATGCAAACTGCCAGGCTTTGGAGAGTGCCACAGAGCACAGCATGGTAGGTAGCCTCTGGGAAAGGACTCAGTGCCATAGCCCCAAGAAAGTAGATTCTGCCACACTCCAAGCCTCAGGTATGACTGTGGCACTTCCAGCCCAGGGAGACCTTGGGCAGTGGCCCAGTAACTCACGCTGGGACTCCTACCCATAAAACTGTAAGATCATACACTGTGGTATGCTAACATGTTCATGTCAATACACAGCGATCAGTAATGAGTACACAGGCAGTCTCATTAGGTAGGTGGAAACCAGGGACCTACAGGGGCAGGTGACTCACTCAGGATCACCTGGCTAGTTGGTAGTAGGGGCGGAGAGATCTTTCTCTGCTGCCTGATCTGAAAGGGGCTCTAGGTTGGTTGCTCCGCCCACTCTTCACCCCCATCCAGCCCATCTGCCCATCAGCTCCTTCCTTTCCCACTGGGGGTGGTCACCATCACAGGCCCTGAGGGACCAGCACCTCTATTTTCTTGATGACGCCCACATCCAAGCCTCCCACGTAGAACTCTTCCACGGAGCCACAGCTGAAGCCCTTCTTCCCGCGGGGGTAGTCCAGCCAGATGCGGTTACTACGCTCGTCATCTTCCCCGATGAGCAAGATGAAGGCTCGGCTGTCAGTGGCCGCGTCCTTGTGCTTGCCAGTGGTGACAGACACGTAATAAGGGATAACTGCAGAGATCACAGGGGCCCAGCTTCGTAACAGCCCAGGTGGATAAGAGCACCACCCACCAGGTGTATTCGCTTGGCAATGATTTCTGGAAGGTACTGACCTCAGCTCCCTGCTCAGAGGCAAAGCACAGCAGAGCTTTGCAGGGTGATGAGCTGTCCATGGTGAGTGTCTACTCTCCAAGGAATGAGAGGTGGCAACTCCCAGTGGGAAGCTCAGGAGTGTCCTTGTCACTTCTCTGGAGTGCCAATCACATAAAACCCTTTTGGCCAATTACCTTCCTTGCCTCTCATGCTGTTATGTGCAGCCCGCCGAGGCAGGCTCAAAGCTTACCACAGTCAGCCAAAATCAACTTGGCAAAAGCAAGGTCTCAGAGAAAGCAGGACAAGGGGGAAGAACATAGTGCGTTTTTTGCAAGAGATCTTCCACAAGTTCACGGAAATGGGTCATTATTAGGAAAAAACTAGGCATGGATCTCAAAAATGTTTTACACAAAAATAAACTTGCCTTTTCCATTTTCCATGAACTTTTTGAAGTCACTTTATATGTCACGTGGTAAGTGAAGGTCCTGGGAGGCATCCATTTCCAAAACAAACTAGATTAATTAGCATAAAAACCCATCAGGAAGTGTGGATTTATGGGAAAAGTTTTGAGAGTGTCTGACTTCATGGGAAGTACTCTTCTGGTCCTTCTTCTTCCATTTACTCTGCTTAGAATGTGGATGTGATGGCTGGAGCTCCAGCAGTTCCCTGGGAACCCTGGGCAACCTTAGGACAGAAGTCAACTGTCAGGCTGCCAGAGTGAACAGGCTGAAGGAACCAGGCCCCTGACTTCACCGGAGCTGCTGTATGTCTCAGATGGCCTACCTTTGAACTTTCACCTGAGAGAAAGGAAAATTTCCCAGGTTAAGCCTCTGCTCCTTGCAGTTCCTAACTTATCCAAGCTGGAAATTCTTCTCCTGGCTCATTTTCCTCGCCAGCTTGGGAGACACCATCCTGATGTAATGGGTTCTAGGTTAGGAAATCTGCATCTCTTTGAAAAGTTTCTAAAGGAGCCCTTCCTGGCTGGGATTCCCCACAGCGCACCTGCACTTGGCCTTGCTGTCTTGAGAAGGAGAGGCCCAGTGACCTTCTCACAGGTGTTCGTGGTGCTTAATTAAGGAGAAGCACTCTGTTGTGGACCTTTTCACTCATTTGCAGAGGGTGGAGTGTGAATGGGTAGGATATCTGGTTCCACAGACCCACTGCGTGGTCTCCTGGAGGGGGCCATCACCCTGGTCTGGCTCTTATGGTAAGAGGACCAAAGAGAAAGGCAGCGCATTTCAGAGTTTAATAGATACGGAACTGCCTGACCTTAAAAAGTCTGGCTGGTGAAACAAACTTGCCAGGTAATTAGGATTCTGCTTTTTGGAGGAAGAAAAAAACTGAAGGCAAGAGAGTGATTTGTCCAAGGCCAAGTGATTTGTCGTTAGAACCACCTTCACTACCTCATGCCTTACACTTGCAGAGCTGGGTGCAGGGTATGACACACAGTTGACAAGTGAGCCATTCTCATTGTTGCTCTTCCTTCCGGTTGTCCCAGACTCCCTGGGCTGGTCCTGTACCCTCAGAGTCTGGATGAGGGTGGAGTTGATGCTAATGCCCTGCTGATGGTGGGTCAGTGGGTCAAGGCCATCATCACCCGACCCACCAACCCTTTCCTTCTCCATCATAAAGGAGCCCTCCCACCTTGCAGGGTTGTTGGGGGATGAAAATGGAAGCTGTGTGGAAACTGTAAATGACAAAGCATTAGATATGTGTCATCCATGGAGGTGGGGCTAAAGGGTGGCCCATCCGAGACAAGCTTGCCATTCCCACCTGCCTACTCTTTCTCTAAAGAACTCCCTGCTTGGCTCACCTGGGCCATCCTGAACGTAGTCAGCCATGGGCCCTGTCACAGTCTCAATGTCGACGTCAGCCATCTTGGAGCTCAGGGCGATTTCCCAGAAGTCAGCAGGGCTGCTGCAGTTGCTGCTGCGGTCCCCAGTGTACTCCTGCAGGGAAACACATGGCCCAGCCCCATCACAGCTCTGGTATTCTGCCCCCAGGGACATGGGACAGCCGCTGCCTGCCCCTGCCCATACCTTCTCATAGAAGAGCCTCTCGAGTCGCCCATCCTCCTTCTTCAGGGACAGCCAACGCCCGCACAGGAACAGGAACTCGTCCTCATTGGTGTCGTTCCAGATCTCCACCTTCTCCACATACCAGTCTGCACACCACTTGCTGTTGTCGTGGCGCAGCTTGATCTTGTAGATGACGCCCAGGTCAGCGGCCTCGATAATGAAGGTATCGGCCTGGGGAGGCCAGCGGTGGGAACTCAGTGGAGGGAGGGCCCCATCTTACCCCACTCCAACCACGTCCTTCCAGAACCTTCCACCCCCACCACTGTTGGGCTGAACCAACCTCTCTGCTTGGGGGAACACCTAACACGAGTGCTTGGTGATGCCCAAAGCCAAGGCCTCACTTCTACAATGGCCCAGATTCACAGCCCACTCATGTATACGGCACCTTAGAGAAAACTGCCTCTGCTCAGCTTCCTCTTGGGATCAGCCTGTGGGTGTTTGGAAGATGAACCGTGTGGGAGGGGCTGGCCTGAAAGTCATGGCCGTGACAGAGGAGGGGTGTTCAGCCTGGTCCATTAACTGCATGACCTTAGTTGGGATCAGAGCTTTGGAATGAGTCCAGGTGTGGCAAGCAAAGGATCAAAGCTCTGATCGAGGGGAGAGCATTGTGAATAATGGGAGGAGGCTTGAATTCCCATGGGAAGACCTGGGAGGGAGTTGGAGGCTGCAGGAGAGGAAGCAGAGAGAGGCGGCCCGAGGTTTGGGTGGGATGTGTGGTAAGACCTCCTTTTGTGGTCCCTAGGTGCTCAGATTCTAGAGGAGAGCTGAGTGAAGTGTGGGTTCCAGGCCTTGGATGCTATGAGGCCAAGGCAGAAGTTGAATGTGGAGGTGGGAAGCAGAGGGACAGGGCCTGGGGAAGGGGAGGAGGCCAGGTGACCCTGAGTCACACTCACTTCCCGTTCAGAAGATTTTCTCACTGTGAGAGAGACCATGCTGAGCTCTGAGAACCCAGAGAGGAGTTGAACAGATCACTCTCTCCCACCAGGGTATCACACCCAGTGGAACACACACCTGTGCGAGGACCAGAGGCAGAGCTGGGAGGCGGTTCCAGCTGCTGCCATTAAGCTGCAGATGTGGGACTGGGTTTTGCAGGCAGCTGAGGTGCAGGCTGCCCACAGATGGAGGGAAGTGTAGGTGAATGGCGGCAGGTGGTGCACAGCTGGCAGTAGGTGAGGATCAGCGTGGTCTATGGGGCACTGGTAACTGAGTTCATTACAGTAAGAACGGGCACACCCCAGGACACGGCAAGTCCAGCTCTTTGCATCTGTCCCCAGCGAGCGCTTCAGAGGTGCAGAAGGGCATTGAATGCACAATGATTTTCAGAGAGGAACATGGGAAGGCGTGGGTTGGGGTCTGCTGCGTGGGGAACCCACAGCAAGTCTGGAAAACCCTTTCTCATGGGAAGTGGCATGTGCAGAGGTCACAGGAAACAGGCAGCTCCTCCTCTGCTTGACTGTGCCGACACCAAGGGACTTCCAGACAACGCACTGAGTGCCAAGGCAAGCGAAGACGTGGTATCTATTTTCTGCCTATGTGCTATGGGTACATGTACATGTATCCAGAGAAATGTCTGGAAAGAGGCAGAGACAGGACAGTGTGGGACTGTTCAGGTGTGGCAGCCAAAGGGTCAAAGCGCTGAGAGAGGTGAGCTGATAGTGGGAGGGGCTTGAATTTCCCTGGAGAACCTGGGAGGGAGTCCCGGCTGCAGGAGAGAATGCCCAAGCGAGTGAGGTGGCCTGGGGAGGTCTGTGTGGCGCATGACCCTCTTCTGTGCCCATCCTGTGGGGTCTGAAGGGGTCATCCCAGCAGCCAGTGGAAGTGAAGGATTCAGGTCAGACGTGGGATCTGTGGGAAGTCCTGACGGGCTGCAGTGAGGGAGTGATCCCAGCAGCTTTGGGTGGCTGAGCCGAGGAAACCTGAGGGTGGACAGGTGGGCGGGGCCCGGAGCAGGGAGAGCTGGCTGTTCAGTGAGAGAGGCGAGGTTAGGAAGGGCTGAGTGGTGACAAAGTTGACTCCCAGGACACTTAGAAGGGAGCCCCTCCGGGCCCAGTAACTGGATGGGGAGAAGGCAGGGTGCCGCGAGGCACAGCGGGGCAAGGCTGACTCCTGTCTCCTGGAGCAGGTGTTGGAGAAGCAGACGTCCTCAGGTGCTCAGCAGCTGAGCCAGAAGCAGCTCCAGCTCCCCCGGAGGTCGTCAGAACCCGAGGGTAGGAGGAAAAGTGGGGGAGCAGAACGGGCCGAGGGGTTTGCTTGTGACGTGACAAGGCTGACAGAGGAAGGAACCGCATCTGAGCATGGAGGACAGACAGCATCACCTTCAATTCTTTTCTCAATTTCTTCACTCAACGTTTGTTTATTGAGTGCCTACTGTTTGTGCAGCTACAGCCCCGAGCGAAACCAGCTGTATGCAGGACACCGCTGTGTGGACAGTGAGGTCACCAGGCACCCATAAAGGCAGGGCAGGTGTGTTCTCCTAAGCCTTGACCACACTGGGCACAAAGAGCCAGCTTCTTTTGGTTCTAGATGCTTTGCATGTTTTATGTCTGTTGACTTTTACAGCCCTAAAAGAACTTTATTTTTAATGGGCAAGAAAATGGAGGCACAGATTTACTGAGTGGCTTCTCCCAAGATCACAGAGCTAGTGAGCGTCAGGATCTGAACTCGGGTAACCTGGCCCCAGTGTCTGGGCCCTGACAATTACACCTCAGTGCTGAGTCAAGGCCACTGCATGCAGCACATGAACTCTTTGGCATCCTATTTTTCCAAAATGGGAAGAGGAGGCTAGACTGCCTCTCAGTTACTTCTCAAGAGCCGCGAACAAGTCTCTCATAGGACGTGCGCATGTTTCAAAAATTATTTCTCTCACATCTCAGCTGCCTTTCAGTCTGAAAGTCTAATTAGCAATCACATTTCCAATCCCACTTCAGAAGCAGGAAACTGAAGTTCAAGCTGAGTGGTTTACTATCTAGATGATAGAAGAAATGAATCGGAGCCCTAGAGTCTGACTCCTGGGGATGCGGTCACTAGGCTAGGGCTCCTCCCAAGAGGGTTACAGGCTCGTAGGGTGGCTGCTACAGCAAACACACTTAAATGCCGCTCACTTGTGTGCTCCCAGAGCTAATTTCCTGCTCAGCAGGAGCAAGCAGTCCATGGCTAAGGGCCATGCCTGGTGAGGTTGCTGAAGGAGACCTCTGACAAATACTCGCTGGCTGCTGCATGAATTCCCTGTACACGCACGGCCATGGTCAAGACCTGCACTCTCCACCTCTTTCCCTCTGGATATAGCCTGGCCCATGGGGGAATGCGGAAAAGAAACGAGGCAATGGATCATAGGAAGGGAGTAAGGCAGGAAGGGCACAGGGAGAGAAGCGCAGAGGCAGAGAGGGAAGCCACGTGTGTGGAAGGGAAGTCTGGCCATGCCCACGCTCTGAGGGCCCTCTGTGGAATCACAGCACGTCAGAGCTGCAAGGGCCTGGGGCAGCCCCCGGTTCTGTGGTGTTTCAATCCTGCTTATAGCCACAGACCTCCTTGCTTAATTGGAAGGCTACTTGGCACCTCACTAGAGAGGCCAGGCCAAAGTAGACCCACCTGAGGGGGAGTGGGGAGCCCGTCTATTCCCCGATTCATAGCCCTGGGAGGTTTCTCAGGGATCAGGACTTCCCGTGGCTCCACACAATGCAAATTGGACCTCTCACTTCCCAGTCAAGAAAACCGAGACCAGGGCAGCTCAGTTAGGTGAGGCGTCTGTCAAAGCTTGAGAGAGCCCCGTCAAGCCTGTGCTGGCCCAGCCCCACCTCTCTGCAGCGTTCACTCCCATGTTTATGGACACCCCCCCCAACCAAGGTGAACTGGCTTTTCTGAAAATGGCCCATTTCCACACAGCCAAAGGCCTACAGCTCAAGCCAGCCTCTGGCTGCCCAGGCCCCTTCTGCTCCACCACTCCCCACATGCAGGACCCAGGGCAGGTGCCTTGGCCAGGAGAGGGACAGGCTGCACTTGCAGGACAAAAGGCAAAGCCCAGACGAGGGTGTGTGGCACCCCCACAACCTTCCTAGGCTTCCCAAGGACCAGGAAGAGGTGACCCCCAGACAACGGGCCTGGGGAGGAGAAGCAAGGGGTCAGCTCAGCCGGCCACTCCTACCGTTCCTTTCTCGAACTTGTTGGTGCGGTTCTCTGACTTGCCAAGGTAGCGCTCCCCGGTGTCCCCCAGGTCTCCATAGATGGTGATGTAGACCCTGGCATCCGTCCCTGCCCCGGGAATGTTCCCTGTGAAGATCTGCACCGAGTATAGCACAACTGGGCAGGCAGGTGGACAGACAGACAAGGGAAAGAAAGGAAGATAGCACTTTAGTTTGGGCCCAGTGGTTTGAGGGTGGTGTGACGCTCATGTCCCAGTCAACACCTCCCCTCATTCGATCCGTTACGCGCACCTGGCTGCAATGCACGGGGGTCCTCCAGTGGGAGGTTTGCCCATCTGGTCTGGATACAGAAACTCAAAATATGGAGGCTTTCCTGAGCCCTTCTCCCACTATCCACCCATATAGCATATAGGGAGAAAGGTCCGGAAACGCCCTAGAAGGTGACCACTGTGGTCACTCAATCCTCCTGCCATGACACTCTAACCTTATACAAGGGGGGACTTCAAAAAGTTCATGGAAAATGGAATTAAGAAAGATGTTTATTTTAGTGTAAAAAAAACCCCTGTGAAATCCATCTATTTATAACACACATTTTCCATGACATTTTTGAGGTCACTGCCACCCTCTCCATTTCTGAGGGCCCCTGGGAAGGACTCACTACACACTGATGTGACAAATATTAAAACTGATCAGGGAAAATAAAAACCAACAGTGCCAGAACAAAAAAAAAATACTATAATGGATAAAGTATTACATTGTACATCAACCGTCAGGACAAGAGCTGATCAAGTCACTGTTTCTCACAGTGTCCATTTCACTTCAACAAGTTTCCCCTTTGGTGCTCAGTTAGTTGTCGCCAATCAGGGAGAACATATGATATTTGTCCCTTTGGGACTGGCTTAATTCACTCAGCATGATGTTTTCCAAATTCCTCCATCTTGTTGCAAATGACTGGGTTTCATTGTTTTGACTGCTGTATAGTATTTGATAGAGTACATGTCCCATAATTTCTTTATCCAGTCTACTGTTGATGGGCATTTGGGTTAGTTCCAGGTCTTAGCTATTGTGAATTGAGCTGCAATAAACATTAATGTGCAGACAGCTTGTTTGTTTGCCAACTTCGTTTCCTTTGGGTAAATTCCAAGGAGTGGGATGGCTGGGTTGAGTGGTAGGGTTATATTCAGGTTTCTGAGGAATCTCCAGACTGACTTCCAAAGTGGCTTAACCAATTTGCATTCCCACCAACAGTGGGTTAGTGTCCCTTTTTCCCCACAACCTCTCCAGCATCTATTGTTGGTAGATTTCTGAATGTGAGCCATTCTAACTGGGGTGAGGTGAAACCTCATTGTGGTTTTGATTTGCATTTCCCTGATTGCTAGTGATCTTGAACATTTTTTCATGTTTTTTTGTTCTAGTACCATTGGTTGAACTCTGTAATTAACACACAATTATTCTTAGGTGTTTAAATTTTAACTGAAAAGTGATCCCTGTTAGGAATTTGGAAAACATTATGCTGAGTGAAATAAGCCAGTCCCAAAGGGACAAATACCACTTGTTTTCCCTGATAGGTGACAACTAACTGAGCACCAAAAAGGAAACCTGTTAAAGTGAAATGAACACTATGAGAAACGGTGACTTGATCAGCTCTCACCCTGACTGTTGATGAGCAACTTAATAAGTTATCCCTCTTAGTATTTTTTTTGTTTGTTCTACTTAATACTTTTGGTTGAATACTGTAGTCAATACACAATTATTCTTAAGTGCTGAAACTTAACTGAAAAGTGATCACTGTTAAATATAAGAGTGGGAAGAAGAGAGGGAAGAGATGTGCAATTCGGGACATGCTCAAGCTGACTTACCTCAAACGGTAGAGTTAGAAACATACCAGGGGACTCCAATTCAATCCCATCAAGGTGGCATGTACCAATGCCATCTCACTAGTCCCAGTGATCAATTTCTGTTCACAATTGATCATAATGATAGGACTAAGAACCAAAGGGATCACATAAACAAGAATAGTGTCTGCAAATACTAGCTGATAGAATAAAAAAGGGAGAGAATGATCCAACATGGGAAGTGAGATACACAGCAGACCCATAGAATGGCAGATGTCCTAAACAGCACTCTGGCCTCAGAATCAGCCCTTAAGGCATGTGGATCCGGCTGAAATGCCCATGAGAGTATTTCAGGCATGGAAAGCCAAGACACTCTGGGGAAAAAAACAAACACCTAAATGAAAGATCTCTGTGAGTGAGATCCCAGTGGAAAGAACGGGTCATCAAAGAAGGAGGTACCTTTCTCTGAAGGGAGGAGAGAACTTCCACTTTGAGCATGGCCTTGTCTAAATATGATCAGAGTCGGTGAACTCAGGGGGCTTCCATAGCCTTGGCAGCTCATGACAAGAGCCTCGGGTGATTACTGATGCCATAAACAAGAGTGTCAATTTGTTAAGTCAACAACAGGAGTCACTGTGCACTTACTCCTCATATAGGATCTCTGTCCTTAGTGTGCTGTACATTGAGATTTAATGCTATAACTAGTACTCAAACAGTATTTTTCACTTTATGTTTCTGTGTGGGAGCAAACTGTTGAAATCTTTACTTAATGTATGCTAAACTGATCTTCTGTATATAAAGAGAATTGAAAATGAATCATGATGTGAATGGAAGGGGAGAGGGAGTGGGAAAGGGGAGGGTTGTGGGTGGGAGGGACGTTATGGGGGGGAGCCATTGTAATCCATAAGCTGTACTTTGGAAATTTATATTCATTAAATAAAAGTTAAAAAAAAAGAAAAGAAAAACAAAGCTAAAGCTAAGCTGTCATAACTATTCACAAAATCACTGTAACTGTTTTGTTGAGAAGACTGAAATCAGTGTCGTAGAAATAATAAATGGCTTCCTTATCTTACCACAAAAAAGACTTAAGTTGCAGTATACACCACAAAATGATAGAAATCCATTTTCATATAGAATTTAACATAATTTATAAACCAACCTATATAATTAATTATTTTCTGCAAGAATGATACTCCTCTCCAAATTAACATTTTTGAAAGTTTTTGTTTTTTTTTTTTTAAATAAAAGTTTTTAAAGATTCTGAAGTCCTTAGTCCTGAAAAAAAAAAAAAAACCCAACGGTGCCTTGTTTTTGTTTTGCTGCTGTGGACTCATCAAGGAAGAATAAAGTATCCCCTTTCCCAACTCTTCCCAGCACCCGAGAAGTGGCAAGTCTTGTGTTAAAATGAAGCTAAGAATGCCTGGTCCCCTCTCCATGTTCTTCCGTCCTAAGAGACTTTGAGTTTCATGCCAAGAAAGAGGGGACTCAGGTGGATTATTGCCGAAGAAAAGAAATGGAATCTAAGATTGGAGGTGAAGGGTGGAGGTGGCCACATGGAAGGAAGCTTACTCTCCCTCCTCCTGGGAGGCAGAGACCCCCAACCTGTACCCAGAAACCCAACAGGGAGATGGCTGGGGACATATATGGGGACTTGAAGCTTGAAGGAGGCCTCAAGGGTGGAAGAGGAGGTCCCTTGACAACACCAGGGTTCATGCTGGGGTGTTTCTGGTCATCGCAAGAAATGACACGTGTGTGTTGGCTGAGAGTCAGCAGCAGCTTGGCACCATGTGGCAAAGGAGTGCTCACCCTATAGTAGGGGCCAGACCTCTCCCATGAGCCTCAGGATTCTTCCAAGATCCTAGAAAGAGAGGCTTCCTTCCTTGCAGTGCCCGAGATGGACTTTCGCACCAACCCTTGCAAGTGGGCTCAGAAGGTACTGTGAGCTGCTCATGCCCATGGCCGTGGCCGTGGCACACACTCGTGCCCACATGATGAGCCCGTGTTTTCTTATTTTCCTTGGACTCTGCAGCGTCATTGCCTCCTGCTCACCTTCTGCCTCTCTGGGTGCTCCCTGAGTAGCTTCATTTGCAGCCTTCTGCCCACCCCTTGAACGCCAAGATCTCCCAGTTCCATCTGTGGCCCTCAGCGCTCATCTTGCACACTCTGGGTATGGACTTCTTGAGTTCCCTGAGTCTGTAGTCACCTCCTGTGCTTTTGATCCTGGTTCCTAGGGGACAGCTCCCCCAGGACTAGTTGCCAAATCATAGACGCACACATCCAAGCCCAAACTCCACTCTCCCTGTCTTGCAGCCTGACTCAATCCCTGCTCTCAAAGTTCCTGGGTGCTCTGTGACAACTGAGGGTTAGGAGCTTGCCCCACCCCACCCGACTCAGCCCAGGGCAGAATCCCATCCACACTTGTGTGCTTAGAAGAATTGGCATTGCCCAAGCCTGTTGGCCCAACACAGACACGAAGTCACATTAGAGATCCCATCAGGAGCCAGCGTTGTGGCTTAGCGGGTAAGGCCACTGCCTGCAGTGCTGGCATCCCATATGGGTGCCGGTTCGAGTCCTGGCTGCTCCTCTTCCGATCCAACTCTCTACTATGGCCTGGGAAAGCAGTAGGAGATGGCCCAAGTTCTTGGGCCCCTGCACCCACGTGGGAGGCCCAGAAGAAGCTCCTGGCTCCTGGCTTTGGATCGGCGCAGCTCTGACCATTGTGCCAGCTGGGGAGTGAACCAGCGAATGGAAGACCTCTCTCCCTCTCTCTGCCTCTCCTTCTCTCCCTGTGTAATTCTGACTTTCAAATAAATAAATAAATCTTTTTTTTTTTAAAGAGATCTTGGGCCGGCGCCGCAGCTCAATAGGCTAATCCTCTACCTAGCAGCGCCAGCACACTGGGTTCTAGTCCCGGTCAGGGCACCAGATTCTTTCCCGGTTGCCCCTCTTCCAGGCAAGCTCTCTGCTATGGCCAGGGAGTGCAGTGGAGGATGGCCCAAGTGCTTGGGCCCTGCACCCCATGGGAGACCAGGAGAAGCACCTGGCTCCTGCCATCGGATCAGCGCGGTGCGCCAGCCGCAGCGCGCCGGCCACAGTGGCCATTGGAGGGTGAACCAATGGCAAAAGGAAGACCTTTCTCTTTGTCTCTCTCTCTCACTGTCTACTCTGCCTGTCAAAAAAAAAAAAAAAAAAGAGAGAGAGAGAGATCTTGTCACAGAGCAGAAACAACAGTCAACAGTCCCCCATCCACCTGGGCATGGCTTTGAAACAACCGCAGTGGAGTGGACCTGTGGGAACACCTTTCCCAGGAGTCCTTGGCCCAGAGCGGACACTGTCACCAGAGGCTGTGATGCCTGTGGCCTTTCTACTGCCCCCTCCCACCCTGTGGGGGTTACGGAAAGGGACTGAGCTCCTGGCTGCAGGGCAAGGCGGCTCTGCAGTGAATCTAGCTATTTCTGGATCACCTCCCTCCCCGTCCCACCCAGGCACACAGCTCGTCAGCGGAAAGACGTTTCCCTAGAAACATCCCCCAGCTCAGAGGGCACACACCCAAGAGCCTGACAGTGCCGCTGGGGCCCAAGGGAACGATCCCTCTCCCCCAGATTTCACTGCAAGGAAATTCGGGGGAAAGGGATAAGAGAAGGGAGCGAGGTGCTATGGAGACCAAACTCCCTCCTATTTCTATGTGAGCGGCAAGTCAGTTGTGTTACTTCTGCTGATTGAACAAAGAGGGTGTGTGGGGAGGAACAGTTTGCGTTTTGATCATTTTATCAGCGTGGTGGTCAAAAAGATCTGTTCTCTTGGCTTCAGGTGAGAATCTTGGGTTTCATTAGAACCTTGGGTCTCCCTCCAATTTTTCCAAGAAGGCAACACAACAAATCCAAACTGAATCTCCAGGCTCTGGAAGCTTCTCTGACCACATAGACTGCCCTGATAAAATACTGACAGTATTCTTCTGTTCACCATCAGTGGTAAAAGGCCCATTATTTTTTTGCAAGTGAATTTTATTTTGAAATTGTTAAAGGTTATTCAGATCTTAACGGCCAGTGAATAACGTGATACTGACACAACAATGGCACTACTGGTCAAAGCACAGGCATGACATGCCCACATGTGTGTGTATGTGTGTGCGTGCCTCCTCTCACCCCCCCCCCCACATACAATGTAGAAAGAGAGAAGAATGTGTGTGTGTGTGCCTCTTCTCACCTCCCCACTCCTCCACACACACAATGTAGAAAAAGAGGAGAACTGAAGGTTGAGGGCTGGGCACTATGGTACCCACCTGGCAAGCAAAATGCAACAAGCACTCAGTACACTATTCAGAGGTAGGGAGAGAGCCCAGGTTCTGGTAGAGGAAGCAGAATAAGTTGGTGGTTGGGTCTGGGAAAATCCTGCAGAGAAAACCACACCCATAAGGAATGGACAAACGTCACTGGCCCATACAGAAAACAAAGCCATGACCTTGGACACTCTTGGACACACGACCACTGCGAACAAGTGCACCATAGCTCCAGTTACATATTAAGCAAGAATGAATTCATTTCTTACTTGGGATAGCTAGGCCCAGCAAGAGCAGAGGAAAGACACACAGAGTGGCAGCCAAATAGACAGAGCAGGGAGAAAACAAAGACTGGCATGGATGGAGTATCGGTGTCAGGCCAGGAGAAGACTCAGGCATAAACCTGGAAGTGAGACAGGTAAGACCTTGAGGACGAGCTCTGCCATTGACTAGCTGGGGGAAGCTGGGCAGGGTGTGGAACCTTTGTCGGCCTCAGTTGCCTTGTTAGTAGAATGGACATGACAACAGACCCTCCTCTGAGAAAAGACCATGATCCTGGAGCTGCTGATGGTGGCAAGGGAGATCACCCCTCACTTACTGTCCAGAGGCTCCTCCACTTCCTTGTAGACTTGCCTTAAGGACCCATCTTTCATGTATTTCTCAGTGAAGATGTCGTAAGGGACCAGTTCGCGAATGGTCTTCTTGTCATCTTCGGAGGTGGCAAGCCATCGGTCACACGGGAAAGTCAAGGTCTCTGTACCCTGGGGTGAGGAGGAAAGGTGACAGTTAGCCCGCACTGTGGCAGCTGCCAGCCTTAGCGTTGCATCGTGGGGCCACATTGACAATACAGAAGCCACAGGGAAGGCCCCATGGCCCGGCCCCAATTGCAGCAAAGCCTGTTGAAAGATGCCCACAACCACATCAGAGGTTGGCTCTTGAAAGCTGCGGTTCCCAGGGTCATTTAAAAATAGGTATCTGAACCCCATTCTGGAAGTGCAGGTTCCACGGGCAAGGAGAGAAGGCTCTGTGCTTTGAAACTGCTCCCCACCATTCACACCCACGCTCATGATTGAGCGCTGGCCCCCTGATTTAGAACGGTGTGGCTTCAGAATGTCTTGCAAGTTGTTTGGGTGGACTTTCTTCTGTGATTTGAGCTCGAGTAGCAAGACAGGCAGGCTGGCCACTCACCAACAGCAGAGCACAGACACGGCTGCCCAGACCCCCCTCCTGGACCACTAAGGTTCTAGAAGAGTCTGCCTTGGGCCTGTGCTAGTCCTGCACTGAGAGAACTGGGTGCTCATAGCTCAGCAAAGCTCAAGTCGTCCGTGAGGGACCCCCCAAGTCTCTTCTGACACAGGGCAAAACAGCAGCGGGGCCGAACAAACACTCACGTCTTTATCGGGGAGGAGCCGGCGGATGTCCACGTGGGAGCAGTGCCACCCAGGATTCATGCCCGTATTATCATGGCCAATCCGAATCTTCTCGATGATTTCTCCCACATCTTCTAACTTTGGAAAGGAGAACAGGCACCCGATGTTGGCCAGAGGGTCCGGGTGAGCCGCACCCCAGCTACACCGCAACCCCTTGAACTTCGAGGGCCACTTTCTCCCAGCACGTCTCTAAGGCCAGCCAGGCCAGTCTCCACTCGCCACTGCACATTCCATGCTCACGCCTCACTTCCCCGCTCCTCCTTAAAATCAGAAGACGAGCTTGGTTCCTGCCTTCACAGGCTGACCCTATTCAAGTCCCCTGGTTCCCAGGAGTGCCTCTCTTTCCAGCCACTCCTTTTCAAGATTGATTGATTGATTGATTTGAAAGAGCTACACAGAGAGAGGATGAGAGAGAGAGAGAGGTCTTCCATCTGCTGGCTCACTCCCCAACTGACCACAATGGCCGGAGCTGGTTCATTCGCCAAATGGCCACAACAGCGGGGCTGGGACAGGCCAAAGTCAGAAGCCAGGACCTCTATCCAGGTGTCCTTTGTGGGTGGCAGTGGCCCAAGCACCTGAGCCACCTTCTTCTGCCTTTCCAGGGACATTAGCAGGAAGCTGGATCAGAAGTAGGGCAGCTGAGGGGCCAGTGCCGTGGCTCACTTGGTTAATCCTCCGCCTGTGGTGCTGGCATCCCATATGGGCGCTGGGTTCTGGTCCCAGTTGCTCCTCTTCCAGTCCAGGTCTCTGCTGTGGCCCAGGAAGGCAGTGGAGGATGGCCCAAGTGCTTGGGCCCTGCACCCACATGGGAGACCAGGAGGAAGCACCTGGCTCCTGGCTTCGGATTGGCGCAGCGCACCGGCTGTAGGCCATTTGTGGGGTGAACCAATGGAAGGAAGACCTTTCTCTCTGTCTCTCTCACTGTTTAACTCTGCCTGTCAAATAAAAAAAAAAGTAGAGCAGCTGAGACTCAAACTGGCACTCAGATACGGGATGCTGGTGTTGCGGGTGGCAGCTTAACCTGCTGTACCACAGCACTGGCCCCAGTGCTGAATCTTAACTACAGTGGAGTGCATGGAAGTCCCATTTAGTGGGAAAGTGAGCCCCTGCACTGGGAATAGGGATCTGCAATCTATTCTCCTTACTGCAGGAGCCTGGGGGTAGGGGTGCAGTCAGGATCTATGGGTCCCCTGACCCCTTGGGAGCCCTGTAAGGAGGCAAGGTGTCCACTCAACTCGTCACACACCAATCAGCTCCTTGCCCAAGCTGCTCTCTATCACTCAGCAGTCCTTGCTCAAGTACCCCAGGAGCCCCCTCCCAGGTATCACGTGTCACAACGCAAAATGATGCTGGATATAGCAATCTGTATCCTGTCTTGTTCCCCAGAAAATCTGAGCTGGTAAAAGCATAAGAAATGGATGAGGAAGTCAGGGCAAAGGGAAAAGAAGTGGCAAGGAGACACCATGATACCTGATGCCCTGGCTCATGTTCAGTCCATGGAGTTCATACCCTGAAGTTTGGGGTGCCAGCTAGAGGCATGGGGGCTGGTATCTGCAGACTTGAGTTTCCTGGCAGCTCCTCTAAGGAACTCGCTCCATCAAGCTCTCTGTGGCCACAAAGAGGTGGCAGAGTCAGCTCTGGTGTGAATGAAGAGATCTTGAGGAGTGAATGGCGTGTGACTGAGTCATTCACCAAAGGCGAAGCTTCCATGACGACAGACACAAGGAACCTCTGAATGAACTGGGGCAGCCTCCCTCCCCACCTGTATTCTCAGTTCCAGCCCTGGCTCTGCCACCACTCCCTGTGATAGCAGAAAGGTACTGGCCCCGGGCTCATCTATATCTGGGGGAGATTAGGGTATTCCTCAGCTGAAGGCAGGGGCACAGACAGGATCACCCCTTAAGGTCACTTTTAGATCTAAGATCATGGACACGGTTCTTTTTGCCAATTGTTCTCTAGTTCTTAGCAACTGGGTGGGCACTACACTGCTGCAGGCTCGGTGAGTTAACAAGGCTGCTGCAGCCACAGTTACCCTGCAGCACTGCCCAGCCCCCATCCCCCAACCCCGGCATCAGAGACATGGGAGCCCATGTCCATAATGGCCCTTTGGGGGTCCTGCAAGCCCCCAAGGGCTCTGAATCATTAAACAGAGATTTGTGACCTGAGGTTGGCCTTGGTATCCCCAGACACGCCTAACAAGGCTGTGTTCTTCCACATACAGGGCAGCACAGGTACATGCAGGCCAGGCGTGGCCTGCAAGAGCTCCATCTGAGGCCTGGCTGCCTGGCGGGATCTGGGATCGAGCCCCTGCCTCTCTCTCTCCTCCTTCCCTGGCCGATCTCTTCAAGGGCCCAGATGCCTGGGCCTCTGGCTGCAAGGACACTAATGAAACCACGCATTTGCACGTCCAGGTGGCCACCTCAGCCCTGAGCCCATAAGGTATTGAGGGATTTCGGGTCACATATGGCAGGCCTCAGGGACAGGCTCAGAGGGTGCCAGGAGGGACCCTGGTGTTCTGGGAGGTGAAAATCAAGCAGTAAAGGCCTGAGTTCAGATCCCCGTGCTGTTTTATAGCACATTGAGCAAGTTACTTAGTTGTCCTGGGCTCTGCTTTCTCATCTGTAGATGGGATGATTACAGGACCCCATCTTGGTAATATTATATGGTTTGATGAGTTGGTTCATAACAAGTGCTTAGGGCAGGGCTGGCACATGGGACATCTCAACAATTCATAGCTTTTACTGTTCTTTTCCTGGCCAACCTCTCTGTCTTGGATGGGGCCAGAGACAGGGAGAGGCCTGCTCATGAGTTAGTGGCTAAGCCAGACACAGAACCAAGAGTTATGAACTCACAACCCAGTGCTCTACCTCTCACCTGAAGACAGATCAGAAAACAGAAGTGATGAGACGGGGACACGAGCAGGCAGGGAGACAGAGGCCAGCTCCCTACCTACCCCGAAGCTCTTCTACTTCCTTCAATACCCACATATATTTGAGAAGAAAAAAAAATAGCAACAAATTACTGGCGAGTCACAGCTGCCTACTAGAGGGAGTTCATTGAGAACGCTCCCCGGAAGTCACGCTGAGGTGTAATCACAGCCCTGCCACGGGCCCGGCACGCCGCGTGACTCACCGACATCTTGGGGTGATGAGATGCGAGCTTTGTGTGAACGATGAATCACCCTTGAATCTTCCTTGCTGGAAGACTCAACACAAGTGGCAGACCTTCCCACAAAAGCTGGCAGCTTCCGGAGGGTGCAGAGGCACCGGGGTCCCCAGGGACGCAGGCTTATGAAGGAAGGAGGAGCCGTTCTAGACCTTCTATCCCACCAGAAAATAAGGCCCCCCTGACCTGCAAGGCCAGGCTACTCAAGGCTCCTGGTTCTCCTCCTCTGGGGTCTCCTGCACGTCCCTTTCTGCCCTGCTTCTACCCTGTCCTCTCTCCCCTCACTTCAGGCTCCTCCTGCGCCCTCTGGCCAAACCCCAGAGCACACCTGTGCATATTTCTACCTTTGGGCCGATGGCCTTGCTGTTCCCCTTGCTAGGAACACCTTTCCTCCTTGCCCTGCTCATGCCCACTCTCAGGTCCAGGTCAAAGCTGTCTTAGAGGGAACTTCCTTCCCGCTCTGGGCACCTGTAGCAAGCTCAGTCACTGCAGTATATCTGTCTACTGCGGCATCAACCCATCTCAGTGTTCCTGCACTGTACTGGCTAACTAGGGCAGCACTAGCCCACTGCAGCAACAACTCAGTACAGCACTGGTCTCCTGCGTGGTGGCTGGATGCAGGATTAATCTACTGCAGTGGCTAACTAGGGCAGTGCAGGTCACTGCAATGGTTAACTAAAGCTGTGTTAGTCCACTGCAGTTTCTAACTCATGCAGTGCTAGTCTACTAGTTAGCTAGTAGTTAACTAGCTAGACTACTAGACTACTAGTTAACTAGTCAGTCACCAGTGCTTGTCTACTGCAATGGCTAACTAGGGTTGTGCTAGCCCACTGCAGTACCTAACTAGGGTTGTGCTAGCCCACTGCAGTGCCTAACCAAGGCTGTGCTAGCCCACTGCAGTACCTAACCAGGGCTGTGCTGGCCCACTGCAGTACCTAACCAGGGCTGTGCTGGCCCACTGCAGTACCTAACCAGGGCTGTGCTGGCCCACTGCAGTGCTAACCAGAGCTGTGCTAGCCCACTGCAGTACCTAACCAGGGCTGTGCTAGCCCACTGCAGTACCTAACCAGGGCTGTGCTGGCCCACTGCAGTACCTAACCAGGGCTGTGCTAGCCTATTGCAGTACCTAACCAGGGCTGTGCTAGCCCACTACAGGACCTAACCAGGGCTGTACTGGCCCACTGCAGTGCTAACCAGGGCTGTGCTAGCCCACTGCAGTGTTAAACAGTGCTGTGCTAGCCCATTGCAGTGCCTAACCAGGTTTGTGCTAGCCCACTGCAGTGCCTAACCAGAGCTGTGCTAACCAGGGCTGTGCTAACCCACTGCAGTGCCTAACCAGGTTTGTGCTAGCCCACTACAGGGGCTAACCAGGGCTATGCTGGCCCACTGCAGTACTAACCAGGGCTGTGCTAGCCCACTGCAGTGTTAAACAGTGCTGTGCTAGCCCACTGCAGTACCTAACCAGGGCTGTGCTGGCCCACTGCAGTGCCTAACCAGGGCTGTGCTAGCCCACTGCAGTGTTAAACAGTGCTGTGCTAGCCCACTGCAGGGCTAACCAGGCCTGTGCTGGGCCACTGCAGTGCTAACCAGGCCTGTGTTAGCCCACTGCAGGGCCTAACCAGTGCAGTGTTGGCTGACTACTGCTCAGAGCACGTATTACAGAGCCAGTCTTCCTGGATTTCAAACTGACCTCTACTACATTCTACCCATGCATTCTAGGTTAAGGTACTAACTTCTCTGTGCCTTAGCTTCCCCCTATTTGCACAGGGCTCCTAACAGAGCAGGGTTGATGGGAGGTTAAGTGAGCAAATACAGATAAATCCCTAGTACAGTGCCTTCTGACCCACAGGGTCGGGTATGTTGTTGATCACCAGACTCTCACATTAGCCTGGTCCTGGTGTGGAGGTCTGGGGTCCCCAGCTAGACAGCAAGCCCCTTATAGGCAGGGGCTGGACCCTAGCACGCAGCTGGGTACACAGGGCAGGCACAATGAGTGTGCACGGAACTGAGTCGTATGGGATACCAAGCTGCTATGAATTCCACCCACACTAAACAGCAAACAGAAAAATCCCCATTGCCCAGACCTGATGGAGTCACGGGCCATCCAGGCTGTTCTCCTATACCAGATGGTTTGGTCATGGCTTGAGCGCTGAGCGGGAGGCCCTATCCCCACATAATCACTGGGGCTGAGGTCCCCAGCTGCCCCAGGCAGTCTGAAAGCCGTGCTGAACTCGTGGACTGTGTCTGCTGTTGGAAGCCCTCATGCCGTGTTGTTGTGGGGCCTCTAGCTCCGCCAGGCCCTGTACACTCATTACCACCTTTGCTCCTCGCCAGGGCACGTGTCACCAGCCTCTTGTGGGTTAGAAGTCTCGGGCCTAGAGAGGTTGGATGAGCTGCCCGTCTTTCATCAAGAGCAGCCCATCCAGGTGAAGGATGCATGTCAGGCACCCACCCCTGTCTCGGGCAGCCCGCTGAGCCCCGGTACCTCCACGATGAAGCGGGAGGCGGACTTCCTCTCAAAGAACAGCTTCTGCTCCCTCTTGTTGGTGCACAGGAATTTCTGCTGGGTGCACACAGCGTCACAGCCATAGATGACGATGAAGATGTTGGCATCTGTGCCGGCAGCAAAGACATCACTGGTGTACAGCGTGATCTCATAGGGGACAACTGGGGGTGGCGGCCAGAGAAGAATCACAGTGAGGTCAGCTTCTTCACCAGGACCATCCACCTGGGCCTTTTCCCTGGGGAGCTGCTGTCCAGAGACCTGGACCTTCATGTGGTTGCCTGGCAACCATGGTGGGGGGAGGGCTGGCATGTCCAGGGGCCATGGGAAGCCCCTGTCCCCTCAGAGGGTCTCTGAGCCTTGCACACCACAGAGCTAGTGCAGCAGACCAGCTGAGAGTGCAGACTTTCAAATTCAACAAGCCTCATCTCAAATCCCAGCTCTAAGCTGACTCTTGAAGAGACCTAGGCAAGGTACAGGTGTGCCTCAGTTTCCATTATATGTAAAGCGCCCTCAACATGCTGCTTAGCTGAAGACACCCCAGAGACACTCGCCAATCAGAGGAGCTTGTCCACGGCGGTGAGAATTCTTTATCTTCTCTCTCCATCCTCCGCTGCCAGCCCCTCACTTGCTCCAGTGCCCCCTCCACCCCCACCATGTCTCACCTGGCCCCTCATTCAAGTTCCCTCACTTTACAGAAGTCTATGTGGAATGGGATAGCGCAGGTGAGGGATGCCCCCTGTGTACTCAGTCCCAGCAGGAGCACTATGTGTCCCAGGGAGCTTCCTGGGGATGGCCACCAACATGAGCGGCGAGCAACATCTCTCTGGGCTCGGGATACAAATCCTTTGCTTCAGAAACCCTTGGGGTGCTTGTTAAAGATTCCCAGCTTCTGCTCAGAGCCTCTGGGGTGGGCCTACCTCACATTTCACATTCAAGTTCAAGATCCATAGTTGAAAACAACATAACACCAACTTTGAGGTTCACTAGCAGACCATGAGATAAGTTCAGTGTGTGGGCACCAGTTTTCAGAAAAATCGATAGAATCGGATAGAATTGAAAAGAAAATATCACTGGACCTCACACACAATGAGGGTCAATTTTCTTGTGACATTTGCTGTATGTGTAGACAAACGTATATACTCCCTTCTGGGTCACAGGAAGGAAAAAGTTAAAAACCCAGAGAAATAGTTTAAGTGCAAATCTACCTTTTGTTGTGATCTTGACCCCTGAAGGAGTCACTTGAGAAATTCCCTTCTTCCCGGTGACGAGGAACTGGCCTTTCGCTTGTTATCAGGGATGCTGTGCTGTAGAGCTAAGTCGTGATGCTTGGTAGTAACAGGTACCACTCAGCGAGCACTGGCTACATGCTGCACTCTGTGCTAAGCACTCTACAATACTGATCTCCTTTAATCCTCAGAGTGTCTCAATAGAATATTGTACCCATTTTGCAGATGAGAAAGGCAAGGCTCAGTGAGCTGCAGTAACTTTCCCAAGGTCATATGGTAGAACTCAAACTTGAACCCAGTTTTATCTGACCTCAAATCCTATGTGATCAACCTCTAGGGGTGAACTGGAGGCGAGTACTGCTCCCTACCCACAAGCCTCTGAGAGGGGTGGTCCATGGGAGCGACCACCAGCCCCACTAAGATCTGAAAAGACCCTTACTCAGTGTTGAAGAGAGACACAGATCCAGCCCTGCCAGGCCCTCATGCAAGGACAGAGGCACCCTCTCTGCAGTGGCCTGTCCCTTCGTCTGAGAGCTCATTGGCTTCTTCCCAGCCTAAGGCCAGGAGACCTTGAGCAAAAAACCCTGCGACAGGATCTGGGCTGTCCTGAGACCAGCCAGAAGCAGGAGAAGCTCTGAAAACTTCTGAGTGGGAACAGCCCATCCTGCGGCCCTCACTGCCCCAAGCCTTGGCTCCTGGTTTCTAGTTCTGCCTCTGCCAATGGGTAGCTGTGGGTCCTTGGGCAGAGAGCTATCCTTCTCTGGGCCTTGGTTTCCACACCTACAAAATGAAGGGATCTCTGGTTTGTTTAACCATGCTGGAATCCTTATAAACACTTTCATCAAAAACTGTTCAGAGGGGCCGGCGCTGTGGCGCAGCGGTTTAACACCCTGGCCTGAAGCACCGGCATCCCATATGGGTGCCAGTTCTAGTCCCAGCTGCTCCTCTTCTGATCCAGCTCTCTGCTATGGCCTAGGAAAGAAGTAGAAGATGGCCCAAGTCCTTGGGTCCCTGCACCCACATGCAAGACCTGGAAGAAGCTCCTGGCTCCTGGCTTTGGATCAGCGCAGCTCTGGCCATTGCAGCCAATTGTGGAGTGAACCAGCAGATGGAAGACCTCTCTCTCTCTCTGCCTCTCCTCTCTCTGTGTAACTCTGACTTGCAAATAAATAAATAAATCTTAAAAAAAAAACTGTTCAGAAAGAAAAGAGCTGTTAAGACACCATTTGGGACAGCTGAGTCCTGTATCTGAGGGCCTGGGTTCAAGTCCTGGCTGTGCTTCTGATTCCAGCTTCCTGCTAACGTGCACCCTGGGTGGCAGCATGTAATAGCCCAAGTACTTGGGTCCCTGCCACCCATGTGGAAGACCTGGATTGAATACCTGCATCCTAGCTTGGCCTGGCCCAACCCTTTGGGAAGCGAACCAGCAGATGGGAATCTATCCGTGTCTCCTTCTATCTCTCTGCCTTTCAAATATATACATATTTGATTACTAAAACAGAGGATCTGCTCCAGAAGTCACAGTGCAGGGCTGCCCCACCCCCTTCAGCCTACCAGCTGCCCTGAGACACCGCCGCTGCCCACCATGGTTCCTTGGAGAATAGGCGGAAGCCCATAGTGCCTGCCAGCTGGCATGATTCTCACCTTCAGAGCCGCCGTGCACTGTGCCCTGTGCTGTGCCCGCCTGCTGCCTCCCCCGGGCCTACTGTCAGCTCAGACCATCCCGGCAGCCCTTCCCAGTTGCTCACGTCCTGCACCGTGGCACACTTCCACTGGTCCCTGAGCAGCCCCCTTGGTCCCTTCACTGGTTTCACATGCCCTGGGCAGGCTCGACGAGCTGCTGAATTGGGGCTCCAGGTTTTTTTCTGGGTCCCTGACAAGGTGGCTGGGCTCTGTCTCTGTCATCCTGGGACTGAAGCTACCTGGCTTTGAAGCTCTGGGACCACCACCACCAGGGAAGCAGGTCCCCAGCAGCAGACCCCTCCTCCTGCTCCTCTCGCTGCTGCTACCTTGGGAGGGCGAAGTCCAGTCCATTCTGAACACTTTGTTTTCGAATGGGCATCTGATTCAGAGGGCGAAGGGGTTAGTTTTATAGCAGGCAGGGACTGGATACACTCAGCCTCTATATCCATGGGATCCACGTTTGTGGATTCAACCAATTGTGGATCAGAAATACTTGGCAAAAACCTGCCTCTGAACTGGACATGGACAGGCTGTTTTTCTCATCTCGATTCCCTAAACAACACAGTGTAACAGCCATCTACACAGCAGGCACATGGCACTTGTATTGTGAATGACCTAGAGATGATTCACAGCAGACAGGAGGACATGCACGGGTCGTATGCCAGTACCACACCTTTTTCTATAAGGTTCTGGTATCCGTGGAGGATGCTGGGGCCAATCCCCAAGGACACCAAGGGGTGACTGTATCCATCTCACACCATATACGCTCTTAGGCTCTGCGAGGTGAGTACAGAGCAAGGCCTGTTCAAACACATGAGGAGAGACACAGTCACATCTGTTCTCCAGGGTCCCACTCAGTCCTGCCACCAGCCCCGGGAGCATCTATCAGATCAGAGACCACTCTGGATAGCAGGTGGCTCCTGGGCGCAGAGTCTGGATGCATGTGCAGAGTCTGGTACATGTGAGGCCAGGGATTTAGTTAGAGGGAAATGTCACTTTATTTCAGGCCATGGCCAAGAAAATATTTTTGATGTTCTGCTCATTTCCAGTTTAATTGCTTTCGGCTAAAAAAAAAAAAAAAGTTCACCACTGATTCCAGCCATTTCATTTACATATGAGTCACTTGTTGAGGGGGGATCTTTTGGTACAGTTCATTATTAGAACAAATTACATGCTCTGAGCTTGGTTCGGATTTCACCAAATTCAGAAAGATTTTTATGGCCTGGCTGACTTTCACATATGTAAACATTTAATCATCTTTCTGATGATGACAGTGAAAGCAGAGTCAACATATCACCACAGGACTCCCCTTCCTCCTTTCTTGTGGCCAGGAAGCACCCTGACCCTCTCTCTAGGTCTTTGGCCTCCTCCCAAATCTGGAGAAAAAGCTTACGGTGGTGTTTTGTGCCGGGGATTGGTGCTGGGGTGGCTCAGCACCCCTCAGTTAGGCCTGTGTCTATTCTCTGGGCTCTTCTACCCACTCTGCATCTACTACCTCTGCTTTGCAGGTGTGGAAACTGAGGCAAGAAAGGTGAGGCTCTCCATGTGTTGTCACCAGCTTGTTTGGGATGGGGTTTGGAATAAATCCCATATTTTACTTCGTCGGGTCTAGGGCTCTGCCCTTTGCCCCACAGAGCTCAGAAAAAAGAAACCCAAATCTCCCAGGTGAGGCTGGCCTAGAGTTGACACTGGAGGAGGAATTGGGGTTGGTTCAGGTCAGCTGGGGATGGAGTCCCGGGGGAGGCCATGGTTCTTACATGGTGTGTACAGCCTGGTTTGAAGCTCCGCGTGGAAGAGGTCCCTGACGATGGCACCATCGTCTTCATTCTTGGCCAGCCAGCGGCCACAGGGAAATGTCATACACTTTCCAAGAGATGGGGCATCCACCTCCACCCAGTCTACAAACCAGCCGGGAGCTTTGCCTGCAAAGAGAGATGAGACAGAAACTCCGTCAAGGACTTGCGTAGAGATGGTTCCTTCCCTATGTGGTACCCAGGGCTCCACCACGTGCGTGTCATCCTTTCTACTGACAACATTGCTAAAGGGACTCCTGTTAAAATGTGCAGTCAGCTGAGGCCAGATCGCTCCAGGCTGCTGTCAGTGAAATTAGCAAGAGGGAAGGAGATGGCAGGAGGAGTTTGAGGCAAGGGGAGCAAGGATGCTGTCCAAGGTGGAAGGAGCTTGGGGTTTAATGGCAGGGAGGGCAGTCAGCTCCCTGGCTCAGCCTGTGGTGGATGGAGGGAAGGGCACTGAGCGGAGGGGTGATGGTCTTCCCAGGCAAGGCAAGTGATCATGTTTAACGAAGGAAATGGAAGCAGACAGGGAGCCCTGTCCCTCCAGTCCTTACGCACCCTCCAACTTCTACAGCCCCAGGTGCTGGGACAAGGGTCTCCTCCTTAGACTTACAAATAGTGATCTGAGGACAATTTTCGGATAAAGAGTTCTCCTTTCCAAACATTTGTGCCACTGCAGTGCCCATGGGCTCCCTGCAGGGCTGGCTAGATCAGCACTTCTCTCCAAGTGGGGTCCCTGGACCAGCAGCCTCAGGACCACCCAGCGGCTTGTAAGAAATGTGCATTCTCTGGTTCACCCCAGACCTAGTACATCAAAGACTCTGGAGGCAGAGCCCAGCATCTGTGTTTTAATTAATAACCCAAGGCAGTTCTGATGCACACTCAAGTTAGGGAACCACTGAGCTAGAGCAGGGGTTTACAAATCCAGCTGCACGTTACAGTTACTGTGGTTGGGGGTGAGCGAAGGCTTTAGAAACCACAAGTGTCCAGGTCCCACTCCAGTTAGGCCAGAATCTCTGTGTGCTGCAGACTGAAGAAGCTGTCACAACAGAAGGCAGACGACACCCAAACCTCCCAGCTCTTCCTCCAATGCCCACAGGGACCTGTCCATGGTCCTTCGTGGTCTAGCAGGGAACAGAGGGCAAGGGAAACCAGACCTGTGTTGTCATGGCCGATCCTGACCTTCCACAGGTCTCCCAGATCCAGCGTCTCTACCGTGAAGATTTCAATGCTGTCTCTCTCGAACTTGTTGCTGTTGGTCTTGGAGGACTTCAGGAGGGTGATTCCTGCCAATCAGATGACCCCAACATGACTGGAGGGGCCCGGGATTTTTCAAACCTCATCTGACCCACCCCTTTTAGTCATTCCCCACAATGAGAAAATTTCTGAGCTTCCATCAACTTTAGACTGTTTATGGGGCTGGCATGTGGCACAGTGGGTTAAGCTGCCACCTCGGATGCCAGTATCCCATATAAGCACCAGTTTGAGTCCCAGCTGCTCTAGTTCTGATCCAGTTCCTTGCCAATGTGCCTGGGAAAGCAGCAGCAGATATCCTGAGTGTTTGGGCCCCGTAAGATCCGTGTGGGAGAACCAGATGGAGTTCCAGGCTCCTGGCTTCAGCCTGGTTCAGCCCCTACTGTTGTGGCCATTTAGGGGTGAGCCAGTGGATGGTTCTCTTTCTCTGTCTCTTTTTGTCTCTCCCTTTCCGTAACTCTGCCTTTCAAATAAATAAATGTAAAAATAAGACTGCAATCACCATCCCAGGGGCACCTGTGTGTTTAGATATGTGTGTGTGTGTGTCTTTTCATTGAGCTCCATGACAACCTGTTGAGATATGCATTTTTGCTTCCAGATTATATCTAAAGAAAGACCTTTAGGAAGATGATCTGGGTGAAAGTGGTAGGGCCCTAAGCCTATGTCTGCTCCCCTTCCAGGCCCCTCATAATTCTTCACATGGGGAGGGATCCAGTCACAACATCCTCCCTGTGTCACTGTGGAAACAGGGGCCCCCTGAGCTGATGGGAACTGTGGGCATTCTCTGGAGACCCCTCTTTGGATGGCAGAAGGAGCGATGGCTTCAATGTCTCTTACCAGGCAACCCACATTACCGGTAATGTGTCTTGGGACTGTGGCTGTGGGGTGCATCTGAAATCAGGTGGTCTCCAACCACTGCCACCCACTCCTGCCTGAGCTTGCACTCAATTCCCTCTAAGACCCTCGACCCCGTTAAGTCCCAGCTCTAGACCCGTCGCATAGAGGACACCTTCTGGCATTCACAGAATCACTGCAGACTAAGTGCCCAGAGAGACAGACCTTGGTCCACTGCCTGGTTCTGCCACTTAGCATCTGGGTAGCTTTGGGCAAATTATTTAATGCTTCTGGTACCTGGTTTCCTAAAATGTCAAAAAAAATTTTAAAAGATGGTCTTGGTGCTGTCCCTGTGGAGTTGTGAGATCTTTGTGACACAATGATTGCTGAGTGCTCAAGAATGTGTCCAACTCAGGGAGCAGGAGCAGCTGGTAGGCCCACCACTGTCTTTGACCAGGGGTCAGGACCCACACCACAGACATTTGTAAGTGATGACCCAATTATTTAATTAGACATTATCTGCTTTATCAAACCTACTCGACAATTAATGCTTATTGAATGCCACTGTGTCCCAAATATTTCACATGTTCAATCTCATTCAACTCATAATTCTGCGAGGCACATACTAGTTTTATCCTCATTTTCTAACTGGAAGAAGCCTAACATCACACAGCTAATAAATGGTGGAGTGGAACTGGAACTCATCAGTGCAGCCAGAGTCCGTGCTCCATACCAGCACCCTGGTCAGGGGTCAGGCTCACTCAGTCTTCAGCAGTGCCCGGCACAGAGCTCTGGGCCCACAGTGGGGTGACTACTTGAAGGACTGGCTCTTCTCTACAGAGTGACCCATCTGGCGGCATGAGTGCATGGCTGACTCCAACACCAAGAGCCACCTTCTCCACGTGCCTGTGCAGGGCTCCAGAATCACCTGGAAGATTCCTTGAGCACCCTCCACACAGTACCACAGAACCCACTGGCTACGTCTCATTGGAGACTGGGAAGACACATGTTTTCCCAGGTTGCTATGGTGGCGGGGGGAGTTAGGGTCAGGGCCATCTCTGCCATTAGAACAGAAGAAGGAATCGGGCACAGAGGAAAGGAATTTTGTGTAGGAAAAAAAGGAACTGCCTTTGTCTGACGACACTGGTAGCCACAGGCCCATCAGGAGATAGAGGCATGACCCTGGTTTCCTTGGATACCTCCACTGAGGCCTGGTCTCCCTGGGGAGGAGTGTGGGGTGAACCCTGGTCTGGCATTGCTCTCTTACCAGTGTCATCTTGCGTGCCGAAGAGTGTGATGAAGACATTGGCGTCTGTGCCTGCGTTCTTCTTGTCCCCAGTCTTTACGGTCACTGAGAATGTGGTAGACTTATCTGCCAGGAGACAGCAGAGAGCTATAGTTTGTCCCTCCACCTTCTCCAGGGGCCCCCTTGGCTCACCCCTGCCCTTCCATCCTAAGACTTGTGAGCCCTGTGATTAGTGATGAGTACATGTCTCGGTCTCATATGCAAATCGCTTTCCTGGCCTCACGCGATGCTCTGCAGTCACCTTTAGTCTGGAAACTCCAAGTGGAGAGATGATGCCCCTCTGGCTCACGTGGGGAGCTCTCAAGCAACAGAGCCAATAGGGTGGTTGGGGTGACTTGGGGCTGACTTCCAGGGTTGAAGGCTCACGTGCCAGGAGCCCTAGCCAGACTCCTCCAGGCTGGGAGGAGTTTTAGGGATGTTTACGACACTTGAAGGCTCCTGTTCACTCTTTCCTTTGGCAAAAATGCTTTGAAAGCCCCTAATGTGTCTGGAAGGGAGGGCACGATGAATCAGAACTGACTATGCAGATGGGCATTTGGCACAATGGTTGAGCTGATGCTTGGGACATCTACTTTCCGCATGGAAGCGCCTGGGTTCAAGTCCCAGCCACTCGGCTTCTACTCCAGCTTCCTGCTAACACATACGCTGCAATGCAGCAGGTGATGGCTCACAGATTCGAGTCTCTGCCATCCATGTAGGAGACCTGGACTAAATTCCAGGCTTCTGACTTTGGGTTGTCCCAGTCCTAGCTGTTGTGGGCATTTGAGGAGTGAACCAGTGGATGGATGATCTCTGTCTCTTCTCCCTTTGAATAATAATAAGAACTGGCTGCTATTCTATTTCATTCCATTGCATTCCTGACAATACTTCCATCCTGTCATGTACTTTATATCCAGTCTTATTCTAGATACATGGGAACATCTATACCCCACCCCAAACCATTCTTGCCCTGGAGGTATGAGAGGAAGGACAGATAGACAGACAAAGGAGGAGGTGCCCAGAACCCATAGGGGAGGGAGGAGATGGAGACATGCGGTGAGGGTGAGGGTGAGGTCAAGGTGGGGGTGGGGGAGGACAGAATCAGAATCAGGGAAGGAAACCTTTCTGCTCCAAGGCCAGGTTGTCAAGGGGGTTGCTGTCACCGCCCCCACCCTCCTCATCCTCGCTGGGTAGCACATAGGACTCATCCACTGGCAGCAGCTCCCTGGACAGCTGCCCATCATCTTCCTCCACCGCCAGCCAGCGTTGGCATGGAAAGTAGTACCTGTGGGGGTCAGGGGAAAGAGAAGTCAGCAATGTCCTCTTAGGAAGGTCCCCGGCAGGGGCAGTCCTGGGCAGGAAACAAGAGGCCCCCTCTTGGGAACTCTAGCTCCCCCTGTTGGCTCCCTGAGGCATTGCCCTCCTATCCTACCCAGCCTGGGAAGTACCTATGAGTTTCTTTTCTTTTTCTTTTTTCCCCCCCCATATTGGTGTGGAGTAACAAAAATGTTTATGAAGTGGCTCTTACACAAAGTCTCAGGCCTGGGCCCTTTTGTTTTGTATTGGAACCGTTGGCAAGGATAGGGGGCCATGACGATGAGCAGATCCAAGCAGAGGCAGCATAGTCTGGAAGAACCTATGAGTCTCTTAACTCAGAGGGACATGGTCTCCAGACACCCCTCCCCCCACTGAAAAGGGCTGTGTAGCATGCCTGGAGCTTAGGAGACCCTCCGTCAGGGGTATGCTGGATGGAAGGATCTAGAAAGGGAGGGCCTGACAGGGCCTACTCCAATCCTTTCTAGAATTAACCATTAGCTAGAGCTACTTTAGCAGTGTTGTACATAGCAGGTGTTCAATACATGAGTGCTTAATGAATGGATTTTAATGAATGACTCAATCATGCTTTCAGAAGATAGCAAGAGTGTGGTGAACAAACTGAGACAGCACACAGCTATCGCCACCTAGAGAAGGGGGTCCAAGGCAGACTCCTAGGTGAAAGGCCCGGCCCAGCACATTGAGGTGCCTGGGCAGAGGGGAAAATGGGGCCAGGAATGAGAGTGGCAGCAGAGTGGGATAAACAAGAACTTGCCCCAGCAGTCGAGCTGTCTGGCCTTAAATCCTGGCTCTGTCACTGACAGCTGTGTGACCTTGAGCAAATTTCTTTACCTCTCTTTGTGAGGGTTGCCAGATTTAACCCGTCCAACTACAGGACTCCAGTGAAGTCTGAATTTTATTTTATTTTTAAAAAAGATTTATTTATTTATTTGAAAGTCACAGTTACACAGAGAGAGAAGGAGAGGCAGAGAGAGAGAGGTCTTCCATCCACTGGTTCACTCCCCAATTGGCCACAACAGCCAGAGCTGAGCTGATCTAAAGCCAGGAGCCAGGAGCTTCCTCTGGGTCTTCCCATGAAGGTGCAGGGGCCCAAGCACTTGGGCCATCTTCTACTGCCTTCCCAGGCCAAAGCAGAGAGCTAGATCGGAAGAGGAGCAGCCAGGACTTGAACCAGTGCCCATATGGGATGCCAGCACTACAGGTGGCAGCATTACCCGCTATGCCGCAGCGCCGGCCCCAAAGTCTGAATTTTAGATAAGCAACAAATGTTTTTATGTAAGTACATCCCTTAAAATACTTAGGACACACACTAAAACATTATTCATTGCTTACCAAAAATTCAAATTTAACTGGCTGTTCTGTAGTGTATCTGGCCACCCTCCTCTGTGCCTCAGTTTACCATTCTGTAAAATGAGGAGAATAGTGCCTATTTCATAGGTTGGCTAGGGGTGGATGTTTGAAACAGTGATCAGGATGCTGTTTGTGACTCCTGTGTCCTAGATGGCAGTGCCTGGGTTTGAGTTCCGGCTGCACCTCTGACTCCAGCTTCCTGCTCATATGCACCCTGGGAGGCAGCAAGAGACTGTCCAAGTAGTAGGGTCCCTGCCACCCACGCGGGAGCCCTGGATTGAGTTCCCAGTTCCCGGCTTTGGCGTGGCCTTGCCCCAGCTGTCACGGGTAGTTGGGGTAGATCCGCTTTGAACCAATGCATCAAAGTCCTCTCTCTGCCTTTCAAATACAAACAAACAGATACTAAAAATGCCTAAATGTCTGGCTACGGGGAGAAATACACTACAGCTGCTGCTGCTGCTGTCCTCTGCCTTCCCTTCCTTCTCCCCAGCCCTCCCTGGAGGCAGGGGCGGAGTCTGGAGGTGGAACCCACGTCCTCTGAGAGTCTCATCTCTGTCTGAGCCCCACACTCTCCTGCAGTCCTCACTGCCTCCCAACGTTCAAACATCAGAGGAGCAGAGTCAGCGAGAACCGCCGCGGTACACGGTGTGGGCGGGGCAGGGACGGGCAAGCTTCTATTAATGGACATGGGTTTAAGGGGCAAGAGTTCAACCCAGGCAAAAAAGTGAAACGGCCACTAACATTGGTGTTTAACTGGAAATGTATACTGCTCCACTTCCCAGCCCTTAGATGCATGAATGGGAGAGTCAAATTTTTATTCAAATAGCTTGTGAATAATAGGTTATGGTCTAAATTATGGCCAATTAAAGGAGAGAGACAAAAATAAAGAAAGGGGTGGAGTTGGGGCAGAGGCGGAGACAATGAGCGTGGGAAGTCAGCAGAGGACAAGGACAGAGGGAGAGAGACACACAAAGAGGCAGGAGGTTATCCAGGGAGAGGGGGGGAACAAGTCAGAAAAACAGACAGGAAAAGGAACAAGCCGCCCCCACACACCATGAACCAATGTATGTAGAGAATGGGAGTCTGGCTTCCGTGGAGCCCTGAGCCACCTGTACTGAGACCCCCACATGCTTCTGTCTGCTCACAGCTGCAGCACTGTAGGCAGATCTCCTGGAAGCTGCTCCCTGGAGAGACAGAACCAGAGCCGGTGCCAGGCTTGGCCTGAGCGCAAGACTGTTAGCCTGCATCCCACAGTGCCAAAGAACCCACGAGAAGGCTTAGAGGGAGGCTGGGCCTGCTGAGCCCTGCCCCTTCCTCCCACAGGACCTGATCCTGGGCAAGTCAGCCTCTGCGTCAGGGAGAGAGTTGGCCAGGGATTTGCAAGGAACAAAGGAGAAGAGAGGGATGCTGGTGTTCTAGGCCAGACATGCCCCCGCTGCTTAAGCAAGGACCATGGGAAGAGCGAGCAGGACTTCAACGAGCGGGGTATAAAGTGAGCACCAAATCGAAGCATGGAACCGTTAAAAAAAATGCAAACCTCACTTGGAAGTCAAAACAGAATTAGATTGGAAAATTAAATGTTGTACAATGTAAATAGTTACCATTCTTGTGTCTAAGCCAATGACTGGACACCACCACCAAATGTGCGTAAACTGGAGAGTCTGGTAGTGGCAAGAAGATGAGGCTGGAGCTCAGGAGCTTTGGGTTGGTGTCCCGATCCTGCCTGGCACCCTTCTAGGTGCCGGGCAGGACCCAGCGGTGAGCACGAGGCCTGCGGTCATTACGCCTGCGGAAGTCACATTCTGCTGCAACACGCCTGTTTACTGCAGGCTGGAGATGAGGGACTGGGAGGGAAAGGACAAAGGAAGAGGAGTAAGGGGTAGGGGGCATCTGGGCCAAGATGTGCCTAAACTAAGCGTGAGGGGGAGGCCCTGGGGGGGCGGGTGTCAGGGAGAGGAGACAGCGAGCCAAAGCCCTGGGACCACGTCTGTTGGTTTTCAGGAGCAGTGAACGAGAGGGTGGAGCAAACCGGGACAGAGAGACAGGAGGTGCTGGGGCAGGCTCTGCAAGGCCAAGGGAGCCCTGGACATTCTCTGGCTCTTTCTGAGCGAAGGGAGCTCTGCAGGTTTTGAGCAGAGGGGAGACGATTCGGGTCACTAGCAAAGACAACAGGAGGGTGAGGGTGGAGCAGGGGAACAGTGAGAAGGCTTCACCCAGGGGAGTATGGGGTGCTAAAAACAGGGTGACGGGACCTGACTCACACCCTTCTGAACAAAGGGCTGCCAGGTTCTGCGAGCAGATGGGAGGTGGGATGCAGGTGGCAGAGAGGAGGGGAGGATGCTCAGGTGGCTTGGTCCAGGGCCACGGAGGGTGACATCAGTTCTCAAATCTTTGGGGCAGCAAAGGCCTTTGCCCTGAGCTGTGCTGGTCAGGGAGAGCCTGGGGAAGGCACGAGGCACTGTCAGGGAAGGTGGTGTCTCCCACAAGAAACAGAGTCACAGTTGATACTCTGCTTCTTCCGAAGGCCTCTCATCTTAAGTCTGTCTCCCAAAACAGTCTGTGCTTCAAGCTCTCAGCTTGGAGGTGGCTGAAACCTGCTCACCACACTGCCCTGGCTGACTACTCCAAAGCACAGAAAACAGAAGCGAGACCGGCTACACAACAGAAAAGGGTGGGGCGGGACAGGGGGGAGATGGGGGAAGGGACAGGTAGAGGAGCAGGGAGAACGAGAAAGGAGGGGAAAAGGGAGGACCGGAAAACAAAACAAAACAAAACAAAAACCCACCTGGACACAAATTCAACAAGAATGTGCAGCAGTGATGTGGAGGAAATTGCAGAATGCTATTGAGACACACAAAGGAACAGCTGGGGAAATGGGAAAATACACCTGGGTGGGGGCAGCATTAATATCTGAAATACGCAATTCTCCACATGTACATTTAGTGGCATAATAATCTGAATTCTAGTGGGCTCTTCATCCAAATGTATGTCTTGATTTGCAAAAGGTAAGAACAGCTAATATTTTAAGAGAATAATGAAAGAAGACAAGTACTGACAGATGTTAAAATAGATTGTAAAGCTAAAATAATTTTTAAATTGTTGGGCTGGCCCAGAAATGTCCAATCCATGGACCTGAATATCTAACCCTGACTGGGCTGGAAGGGGAAAGCCAAGTGTCCACAAGTTGTCCTCGTCCTTACGTTTCTGCAAGCTCAAATGCCTCAGATTTTAGTGGACATCACTAAGCCCATTTATCAGTGGAGGGAACAGCCCGCAAGGATGGGGCAACTCATCCATGGTGACCTGGTGAGTTTCCAGTAGAGGACAGACCCCAGGGCCCTGGTTCCCAGTCCTGGGGTTGTCCCATGGCCCTTATGCATCACCATGATGAGCTCATGGGAACTATGACATCGGTGCCCCCATCAGGAACACCCTTCCAGCTTGTGCGCATTGCAGGGGTAGGAGATGGGGTGACCTTCATCACATATGAAGGTCATATTACACAGAGAAGAGTCCACCAGAAGACATGCTCCAAGATACCAGACTGCAGGCCAAATTGATTTAATTCAACAAACATTTATTCACCGGGCACCTAGTAAACTCCAGGTAGGCCCCCAGCAGGCACACAGTGCACGCAGGGTTCTGCATGCTCTCCTCTCTGCCTTCCTCTGTCCCACTCTGCCCCACCTAGAGGAGCCCTCTTCCATCTCTTTTGCCCTGGGTGTGTGTCTCCCAGGAGGCCAAGTGGCCTGAAGTGGATTCACCCCTGATTCAACACTGGTGGTTGGGAGTTCCTGACGTGGCTCTGGCACTGACGGCCTCTGGGGCTGTGGTTTCACCTCCATGGGGCGTGGCTCCTTCACTTGTGGAAAGCTCATTCCACCGGCTTTCCAACCCAGCTCCTGGGGTAGCTGCAAACTTCTGGCCCAACACCTGCTTACATACACCCCACAAGCTCAGCATGGGCCTTACATTTTTAAGTCAATGAGAAGAATATGAAGACAACAATATTTATGACATGTGAAAATCAAATTTCAGTGTCTATAAATAAAGCTACTTTGGCAGGCAGCCACCCCAATGGTTGAGGTGCCACGTACGACTGCTTCTGTGCAAGAACAGCAGAGCTGTTGCTGATGGAGGCCTGGGGGCCTACAAGGCCTGGGGGATTTACTATCTGGCCTTTACAGGAAAAGTTGGATGGTTCCTGGACTACAACATTGAAACTGTGTTCTTGAAGTTGCTTTACACATGGACAGACTTATGCGTGAGCCAAGCCTGGGCACATAGACTGGGCCAGGGAAATTCTAGCAGAAGTCAGAAGCGTGACTTCTCTGTACTCACAGGGCTCAAGAGCCGCTAGACTGAATGCTGGACCAGATTGTCAGCAACAGGGATAGTGGCCCAAGAGAGCTATCCAGTGAGAGAGAAGGGAACGAGGCAGTAAGCACTTGGCCAGCTACATGGGCCAAACCCACCCTGGTGATCCGTGTAGCACAGACAGCCAGCCCTCTCTCGCCATGCACACATCAGCCGACCACCCTCAGATGATGTCACTGTCAGTCCACCCTCCCTTTCACAGGTCCCAGCCGGCTCATATTCAGCCTTTTTTCCAGCCCTATCTTATTTTTTTAAGTATTTATTTATTTGAAAAGCAGAGTTGGGGCTGATGCTGTGGCACAGGTTAAAGCCCTGGCCTGCAGTGCCAGCATCCTATATGGGTGCCAGTCCGAGTCCCGGCTGCTCCACTTCCGATCCAGCTCCCTGCTAATGCATCTGGAAAGGCAACAGAGGATGGCCCAAGTGCTTGGGCCTCTGTACCCACGTGGAAGACCCGGAGGAAGCTCTTGGCTCCTGGCTTTGGCCTTGCCCAACCCTGGTCCTTGCGGCCATTTAGGGAGTGAAACAGAAAATGGAAGACCTCTCTCTCAATGTGTCTCTCCCTCTCTTTATAACTCTGCATTTCAAATAAATAAAATAAATCTTTTAAAAAAAGGCAGAGTTACAGAGAGAAGGAGAGACAGAGATAAGACACAGAGGGAAAGATCTTCCATCTACTGGTTCACTTCCCACATGACCACAACGGCCAGCGCTGGGCCAGGATGAAACTAGGTGCCAGGCACTCCATCTGGATCACCCACATGCATGCTAGGCCCAGCACTTAGGCCATCTTTTGCTGCTGTCCCAAGCACACGAGCAGGAGCTGAAAGGGAAGTGGAGCATATAGGACTCAAACCTGCACTCAGGGGATGCCGGATGCCAGCAGTGGCTGAACACTTACACATGGACAGACTTATGCGTGAGCCAAGCCTGGGCACATAGACTCTACAACGCCAGCCCCTCCAGGCCTCTCATAGTGGCAGGCACAGCCTTCCCTCGGAGTGGGCCTTCCCATCCCCCGTCCCCACTCACGTGGTCTCGTTGTTCATGTCGGTGATGTCTACTCTGTCCAGGAACCAGCCGGGTCTATTGCCTGAGTTGTCATGGCGAATCCGGATCTTGGTCAGGGCTCCCAGGTCAATGGCGTAGATGGTGAAGGTGTCTGTCTGGGGTGGGCCAGGGCAGCACTTAGAGGGGTGTGACCTGCCCTCTCCCACCTTGTCATCAACTCCAGCTTCTCAGGCCCCAGAGGCAACTGCATGACCCAAAGCCTCTGGGAGTGGGGAACCAGAAAATGTAACTCATTGGTCCGCTACTGTCTTTTTAACTTGCCCCCACTGGGGCAGCCCTGTACTCTCATTGTGTTGAGAGAGGTGAAGGGAGCAGGAGGTAAAGGTGACAGTGGGAGAGGCAGAGGAAAAGATAGTTTGCCTGGACATCTGCATCTGTTGTGGTGAGCTCATGGAGTCTCTATGTATGCACACGAGTGCATAATCTTCTTCAAGCACACACTTTCATTAAGCACCTGCTATGAGCCAGTCTTGTACAAATGCAAAGCGACTGACAGGAACAGAGAGTTGGACTTGCCCACCATCCAGGTGGGAGGCTGGAATGTGAGTCACACATGTATGTGGGCTTCCATATGCCATGGAGCATCAGTAGGGTCTTCATGGCTATCATTTCTGGCTTTATTTTTGAAAAAAAAAATTTTAAATCTTAGAAAATTTGTTGAATTAGCACAATGAAAGTCTGTACACCTCCACTTCTGTATTTGCTCATTTGCTTTGTTCTCTCTTCCTCTCTCTCTTTCTCATCATCTTTTTTCTGAACTAGTTGAAAGTAAATGGCAGATTGCATGATTCTTCACTCCTAAATACTTCAGAGGAGATTTCCTAAGGGCAAGAACATTCTCGGATAATCACAGTGCAATGATCAAATTCAAAAACTTAAAATCAACACAATACTATGGTCTAATAAACAGTCCATACTCAAACCCCACCAAGTGCATCAATTATGTACTTTACATATTTTTCCCAATCCATAAAGAGTGGCTATTATTTTTGAAAGAACTGCAAAAATAGGGGGTCAGTGTTGTGGCATAGCAGATAAGCCAGCCACCTGCAATGCTGGCATCCCATATGGGTGCACCAGTTCGTGTCCCGGCTGCTCCACTTCCAATCCAGCTCCCTGCTAATGGCTGAGAAAAGCCGCAGAAGATGGTCCAGGTGTTTGGATCCCTGCCACCCATATGGGATGCCCAGATGGAGTTCCTGGCTTCTGGCTTCAGCCTCACTAGCAATGGACTTTGTGGCAACCTGGGGAGTAAACCAGTGGATGGAAGATTCATTCTCTCTCTCTCTCTCTCTCTCCCTCTCTGTAACTTTTTAAAAATAAGTAAATCTTTTTTTTAAGATGCAAAGATAAATCCCAATCCTCAAGCCATCAGAGGGGATGTTGAAATAAAGGCAGGGGGCCCCTGAAATAAACCCAGCAGGGAGCCTGGAAGAATTTTGATGGGTCTGGTTTATTTTTTTTCTCTCAGCATGGAAGAGAGAACCTGGCTTAGGGGTGGGGGAAGGCCTGGGAAGGGTGAGGTCAGGGACAATCCTCCAGCCAAGAGAAATCATAAGATCTGCAAGGGCCAGCCTGACAGCTTCCTCTGCCATGCGTTCCCCGCTGCCCTCAGGAGAGTAAGGTGCGTGCACTTCTCCCATGGCTCCTGCAACCTCAGGACACAGTTTTGGCTTCTCAGCCCGTCTGCCCAGGCTCTCGTGGCCTCATCCACCCTCACACACTAACTTGGTCTTTCCCAAGCTTATCCACTACTGCAAAACACTGACCAAAGCTCTGTCTTCAAACTGGCCTTCCATGCTCCCACCTCCACAGCTCTGCTCACGCAACCCCATCTTCTGAGACCATCTTTCAGCATCACCTTTATATATCCACATGGTACTCATCAGCCAGGGCCCAGAAAAGTTGCTCCTTCCCACCAGGTTTCCCCAGGTCGCCTCCTCCTTGAACCCTACTAGCCTCTGAGCATTCCTATGGGCCAGCCAGCCCGAGGGTTCCATGTGCTGGGACTCCACCCACCCACATTCTCACTCTGTCACCACAAACAGAGGAGAGGCGCTGCTCTGACACCTGGATGGACGGAACAATGCACGCTGCAGACCCCGGGCTGCATGGGTCCCCATGGGAACCACAGGAGGCACCACGCCCCACGCTGTAGTGGGGGCCACCCACCCAGGCCCCAGAGAGCCCTCACACTACCTGCCCCTGCTCAAACTTGTTGGACTTGTCCGATTTCTTCAGGGGGCGCTCGCCTGTGTCCCCGTACTCCTCCCCGTAGATCGTCAGGTAGACGTTGGCGTCAGTGCCAGCCTTGGGCACGTTCCCTGTGATCACCTGGACCTCATAGGTGTTGGCTGGAGACACAGGAAGACATGGCATTGAGGACTTCGGAGCCAGCCAGGTCCTGGGAGCAGGAAGGGTCTACAGATCTGTGGACACTAACTTGGCACTGAGCCCACCCCTCCTCCTGACTGATGACTTCCCTCCACCACACAGCCAAGGGGCTGCACATGGCCTTACCTGGCCTCCTGCCTTGCATCCCTCACATTGTGTACGGAGTGGGATCAGGACCCCTCTCACAGTCACTCGGGACGAGGGCAATGCTTAGCCCCAAACAGAACTGTCAAGGGGCTTTTCCGAAGCAGGCTGGAGAGCCGGGTGACGTGATGGGTGTCCCCCTACTCAGCCTCCATGTGAGGGAGACAAAGGCCCCTCTGCCCATCCCCTACCCCCTTCAGGGAACTGCCTGGCCCCTCCTCCAGCTTACGCTCAGGGCCTGGCCTGCCCGTCGGCACCAGCTCCACGACAAGTTCATTGTCCTCCTTGCCCCGGGCCAGCCAGCGGTTGGCTTCGAACTTGTACTGCTCAATCACCTCCTGCATCCCCGGCCCAAACTCCTCCTCTTCCTCCTCCTCCTCGGTCTCCTCCTCCTCCTCCTCTTCCGACGAGGACTCCTCCGAGGACTCTTCCTCTTCGGCCCCCTCCTCCCCCTCGTCCTCCTCATCACTGCCCTTCTTCTTCTTCTTCTTCTTCCTCTGCAGCTTGGCCTTGAGCCGCTCCTTCTTGAGCAGCTGCTGCAGCTTGGCCTTCTCCTTCTTCCTGCGGGACTCCTCCTCGGGTGTGAGCTCCTCCTCCCGCACCACCAGGTGCCGCAGCCACACCGTGTCCACGAACCAGCTGGGCCCGAAGCCCTCGCCCGTGTGCCCGAGCCGGATCTTGTAGACCTCGCCCACGTCCGCCGCCTCCAGCTGTGCAAAGCGCAGGGCAGTGGCTGGGGTGGCCCCGGCGCCTGCCCACCTTCCCTGGGGAGCCAGGCGCAGGGACTGTGCGCTGAGCTGCAGGTGGGGCGGCTCCCCGGTTCCTGCCACACGCAGCTGGTGCCTCTGGCCTGGCCCCAGCTCCACCCATGTTTATTTCCTTCTAAACCCTGTGGTGTTCAAACTGGTCTCCCTGGCCCTCTCTCTCTCTCTCTCTCTCTCTCTCTCTCACACACACACACACACACACACACACACACACACACACAGTCTCTCTCTCTCTCTCTCTCTCTCTCTTCCTCTCATTCCTATTTCATCTTAGCCCATGCCCTTCCCTACCTGGCCAGCCTTACTCCCTCCTCTATCTCAAACTAATACCTATTCTTTCCCAATCCTGGGCTTCAATATTACACTGTTTTACATTGTGTCTTTCTCTGTCCCCTTTCCAATAATGTTCAGTATAAGCACAAATAAGAAAAATAAGCTGCCTTTCAAAACCAAAAAAAAAAAAATCACATCCCAGAGGCCCCGGGCCCCTCCTGAGCACACAGCCCCAGCTTGTCTGTCCCTTTCCGGAGAGCTCCAAGTGGGCCCAGGTCTTGGCCCAGGCCTTGGCCTCGCCCGTGAGTTCCTCAAGGGCTGGAAGCAGTGTGCTGTGTCCCTCCCCACTGGGCACAGCTCACGCTGGGCTGGGAGCAGTGAGCATGGACTCCTCAGCCTATGCTGTCCCTAGGCCCTGAGTTGCACACTCAGGACAGAGCTGCACCAAGATGAGGCCTGGCTCCCCCAAACCTCAGGGAGGCCTCCGGGGGTCCTTCCTGGGGGGATTGCACCTGTACTCCCCGGTGCTGATGCGCCCTTGTCTGGGTCTGGCCCTTCTCAAAGCTGGGTCCCACCAGTTCTCCCACGTGAATGTCAGGGAAAACTGAGGCCTGGGGCATTCCAGGAGTTGCTCAGTGTCCCACACTTCCGGTCTAGACCTACATGAGAACTCTGGTCCCTTACACCTCCTGTTCATGAATCCACAGTGCAGCTAAACCACCACTGAGAGAAAATAATCAGTCAAGATGGAGCCAGGGATGGGGAAAGCAGAGTGTATCCTTCTCAGTCTCCCTGGGCCTGGCCTGTCACTACTTCAGCACATCAGCTTTCCTCTCCTCTCCCGCATCTCCCGGGAGACCTGCTGCTGGCCACCTGCCGAGCCGAACCCGCATCCACCATCACACCTGGTCACCTGGCATGCACAGATGCACTGTTCAGTCACATCTCCCTAACTGGCCACAGTATCCCAAGTGCATTCCTTGACATTGACTCTTCTGGTCATTACAGGGCTGTAACGCCGTCCAGGCAGGTAGCTCAGAGCTCAGCTTAACGAATGAAGATGCTGAGGTTCACTTGGGCCTCAGCCCCTTCAGCAGTGTACAAGGGCACTGAGTGAATGAGGCTCCTCCAGCGCTGATATTCCAGACACTTGTGAGCTCGGGCCCGCTCCCAGCTCAGCCAGTATCTGCTCCCTTGGGCACCCTGTAGGACTATTCGTTGAAAGCCAAGATGCTGTGGCACACAAGCACACATGAACATGAACATATTCTCTGCATACACGTACCTTCAGATGCACACACTGTGCATGCACACACATTCATGTCCAACATAAAACACTCCTGGTCCCCTATTCCCATTTATTTTCTTTCTACTACTCAAACTCTTGCAAGGAGAAGAGAGGAAGGAAGCCTGGGGCACTCAGAACACAGCCATGAAATTCCCCAGTCTTCCAGCATCCTCCAAGAAGCATGGCCCTGCCGTCAGGTGTGTAGAGGTCACAGGCTAGGAGTGGGTACGGAAACCCCAGCCCTGATGCCATCTTTAGCTAACTTAGACTCGTATGCTCTAGTGGTGCTCAGAGTTCACATCACTAGTAGAGCTTTCAAAAGTAAACCCAGGGGGCTGTCTCTGTGGTTTAGCAGGTTAAACTGCAAGCCGGTTTGAGTTCCAGCTGCTCCACTTACAATCCAGCTCCCTGTCAATGTACCTGGGAAAGCAGTTGAAGATGGTTTAAGTGCCTGGGCCCCTACCACGCATACAGGAGACCCAGAAGTTCCTGAACTCCTGGCCCAACCCTGGCCCTTGTGGCCAATGGGGAATGAACCAGTGGATGGAAGTTCTATCTCAATTTCTCTCTACATATGTAACTCTGCCTTTCAAATAAACAACCAATTAAAAAAAAAAAAGCACACCCAGAAAACGCATCCCACCCCAAGAGACTGATTCGACTGATCTGGGGTGCATACTAGGTAACGCTGTTTCTGAAAGCTCCCCATATGATTCCAACATGAAGCCAGGGGTGAGGACCTTATATCCAGTCCAAGCCCTTCATCTCGGGCCGAACAACGCAGGCCCAGGAGGAAGCCCAGCCTGCATCCCACATCAGAGTACCTGAGTTCAATGTCTGGTTCCAGTTCCTGACTCTGGCTTCCTGCCAACATAGACCGCGGGAGACAACAGTGATGGCTCCGGGAATCAGCTTCTTGCAGCTCAGACAGGAGACCTGGATTGAGTTCCCAGCTCCTAACTTGGGCCCAGCCCAGCCACGGCTGATGCATTTTGGGGTGACCCACTGGAATCCTGGTCCAATCTGTCCTCTAGGCAGCAGCCTGGGTAAGACAGTATCTCCCACCATGCTGGAAGGAGGCAGTTCATTCTTTTTATTTACAAAATATTTATTTAAGAGGCAGAGAAAGATAGTGATGCATAGATGATAAATAGATAAATGCCCATCTTCTGGTTCACTTCCCAAACGCCCACAACACCTGGGACTGGGCTGCACCTTAGTCAGGGGCCCAGAACTCAATCAGGACTCCCATGTGGGTAGCAGGGAACCAAGAACTTGAGCCATCACCTGCTTCCTCCCACCATCTACATCAGCAGCAAGCCAGCAATAGGAGCCAGAGTTGAGTGCTAAACTCAGGTACTCCAATGTGGGACACATTTCACCAGCATTATAACCACCAAGCAAACCTCACCCTCTGCAGTTCCTTCTTGAGTGGGCGCTGCCCTAGGAAATAAGAATGCCCAGGGAACCATCGAGGCATCCTTGGGGCCCTCTGCTGGCACTCAGCTGCCTTACCCCACATACCTGGAATATGTCCTTGGATGCCCGATCAAAAACCTTGGAGCGGCTGGAGAGGAAGAGCACTTCTGTTTTGCCTTCTTCACCGTAGATTTGCATGTAGACCCGGGCAGTGGTGCCTGCGCCACCCACGTCGCCCGTCCAAATCTCGACCTCATAGTGAATCACTGGTGGGCACAGGTGGGGTAAAGGAACGCTGAGTAACAACAACAAGGATGGGAACAAAACAAAATCCCCAAGTCTGTTCGTGTGCCTGGTGCATCACAGGCACTGTCTTTTCTAATCCTCTCCTCCACACCATGAGGAAGTATAATCATTCCCATTTTACAGGTGGACAAACCGAGGCTTAGAGGTGGTAGAAATGGCAGACCTAAGCAGTCAGTGCAGCATCCATTGCACCCACATGTCCTTGGGTACTGGGAATGAGGAGCAGTCAATATACCAGCTGGTGCTCCCTGCCATGTGCTTATCTCCAAACTCATGTTGAAATGTAATTGCCATTACAACAGCATTAAGAGGTGGGGCCTCCAAGAGGTGATTGGGCCATGAAGGCTCTGCCCTATAGAAAAGGGAGTCTGGCCACCTCTCAGCTTCTTACCCTCTTGCTATGTTACAGCGCATCAAGAAGGCCCTCCCAAGACACTGGGACCTTTGTAGTGGATTTTTTTTTTTTGACAGGCAGAGTGGACAGTGAGAGAGAGAGAGACAGAGAGAAAGGTCTTCCTTTTGCCGTTGGTTCACCCTCCAATGGCCGCCGCGGCCAGTGCACTGCGGCCAGCATACCATGCTGATCCGATGGCAGGAGCCAGGTACTTATCCTGGTCTCCCACGGGGTGCAGGGCTCAAGCACTTGGGCCATCCTCCACTGCACTCCCTGGCCACAGCAGAGAGCTGGCCTGGAAGAGAGGCAACCGGGACAGAATCCAGCGCCCCGACCGGGACTAGAACCCGGTGTGCTGGCGCTGCAAGGCAGAGGATTAGCCTAGTGAGCCGCGGCGCCGGCCCTGTAGTGGATTTTTAAGCCTCCAGAACTGTCTTCCTCTGAGCCAATGCATTTCTGGAACACTGTTTTTTCACATTCTTGTTCTTTGGGGGAAAAAAGATTAATTAATTAATTAATTTGACAGGCAGAGTCAGTGAGAGACAGATACACAGATCTTCATCCACTGGTTCATTACCAGATGGCCACCACAGTCAGGACTAGGCAAGGGTCCTGGCTGACACACTGAAGGGAGACTGAAGGTGAGCTCAAGGAGGGGCGGGAGCATGACAGGGTGCGGCCAGCAGGGGGCGTCAGTGAGAGCTGCCCGTCTGAACCCAGGAGCCCCAGCTCCCAGGCCTTGCTTGCTCAGACTCAGCTCAGCAGCAAATCAAAACAGGGTGGCCTGAAATAAAATATCCAACAACAAGGACAAAGTCAAAGGCATCTCTAAACAGAAAGGAAATTCCCCAAGAACAGAAAGATGACAGAGAAAGGGTAAGGAAATCAGAGGAAGTCTGCTAGCTAATTATCAGTTCCAGAGAGAACAGAGAAAACAGGCTGAGAAGTTGTCAGAAGAAATCATACAAAAAAGTCCCAGAACTCAAAAATAAAAAAAAAAAAAAAAGCTTCTGGATTGCCAGAGTCCGTGGCTTCCAGAATAATGGATGAAACTAAAATCACAAAGAAGCGTGAAACGTCAGGTGTCAGGGATAAAGACAGGCTCCTGTAAGATTCTGGAGAGGGGGCCGGCGCCGCGGCTCACTAGGCTAATCCTCCGCCTAGCGGCGCCAGCACACCGGGTTCTAGTCCCGGTCGGGGCGCCGGATTCTGTCCCGGTTGCCCCTCTTCCAGGCCAGCTCTCTGCTGTGGCCAGGGAGTGCAGTGGAGGATGGCCCAAGTGCTTGGGCCCTGCACCCCATGGGAGACCAGGAGAAGCACCTGGCTCCTGGCTCCTGCCATCGGATCAGCGCGGTGCGCCGGCCACAGCGCGCTGGCCGCGGAGGCCATTGGAGGGTGAACCAACGGTAAAGGAAGACCTTTCTCTCTGTCTCTCTCTCTCTCTCTCACTGTCCACTCTGCCTGTCAAAAAAAAATAAAAAAAGATTCTGGAGAGGAACAAACCAAAAGGTGATAACAGAACGCCATCAGATTTCTCCCCTGCACCACTGGGACCTGGAAGACGGCGGAGCAATTCCAAGGGGAAATGAGTTCAATTCAGAATCCTTTCATAAGCAAAAAACTTTTTTTAAGATTTATCTATTTATTTGAAATACAGAGCAATAGAGAGACAGAGATTTTCATCTCCAAATAGCTACAACAGCCTGGAGCCAGGAGCTGCATCCTGGTCTCCCACATGGGTGGCGGCAACCCAGGTATGCAGGCCATCATCTGCTGCCTTCCCAGGTGCATCAGCAGGGAGGCACATTCGATGCACTCACAGGAAATGCTGGCATCACAATCTACAGTTTAACCCGCTGTGCCACAACACCGGCACCCACACTGGCCAACTGTGACAGGCAGCAAAACACAGGCAAGGTCTCACATTCAACTCCCCACACCTTCTCTCAGGAAGTTGGTACCAGGAAACAAGAGATCCAGCCCAGGAGAGGAAAAGAGAGACCTTTTCCAACACATGGCAAAAAGGAAGGACCCCCAAGACATCCATGTGGGAGCCTAGGCGGTGGAAGGACAGAAGGTTCCAAAGAGAAGGTCGAGGGTAAGAAGGGGAACCATCAGAATTCCTGCTGGTGAGGTAAGAGTGTGTTCTCGGCTGAATTATGTCCTGTGCAAATTCCTACGTCAAAGCCCTAACTGCCAGTACCAGAGATGGTGACCCTGGTTAGCAATAAGTCCTTTAAAGAGGTGACTAAGTTAAAATGGGCCATTCAAGTGGCCCAAGTGCAATCTGACTGGTGTCCTTTTGTAAAGGAAGAGGAAATCGGGAGACAGAGAGACAGCAGGGATTGAGCACCGCGAGAACAGACCCTGTGACAACACAGCAGGAAGGCAGCCACGAGCAAGCCCAGGAGGGCTCCTTGGTTAGCACGGCCCTGGCAGACAAACACAGACAGTGAGGGGTGTCGGGAAAGCCTTGCTAATGAAAAAACAAGATCACTACTCCAGGGAAAAAAACTGGAAGTTTTACCAAAAAATGAAATGCATCATGATACAGTAAGTGACTCAGCAGTAAATGACATTTATACGTTCTTAGTAATGTAAAAGTTGACTATTGATTTAATTACGATGAAGGCTGGCAGGAGGGGAAGGTGTGAGTGTGTGTGTATATGTGTGTGTGTTTACACACCCACGCACCACACACACATACACCTCCACACAAGAGCCTGTGGATGCTAAAAGAGCTAAAGCCTCCTCTCCCAGGCTAGGAAATCAACAGATAACATCCAAGACTGAGAAACCAAACATTGAGATGCACACTAAAACTACAGAGCCAGATTTCAGAGGAATGCGCTAAAGCAATGCAAGCTGTCACCTCTGACAGGGGGACAGGGTAGGGAAGGGGTGGGTGAGGGAATGACTGCTCTCTTCTCTTTATCTCCTTGCCCAGTGCCTGTATCACTCATGGAAACCAAAGCGAGGAGCTGAGTCACACACTGCAGGCACCGTTGCAAAGCATGCGTCCGCAACACCGCCCTGGAGCAACCTCTAAGTTGGCTGAGGAGACCGAATGTGCCCATGGGGAGGTGCAGAGTTCTCAGAGGGGCACAGGCTGCTTGCTACTGCAGTGGTCACTAGCAGAGGAGCTTCCTGGGGAGGTGACATTTGGGTTGCTGCTTTCAGGGTGGGTGAAGAAAAGCAGAGAGCAAAGGGACACTCACCCGGCCACTTTTGGTCCCACTGCTTCCTTGATCCCCTACATAATCTGTGTCTCTGACCCCTGCCTTGATCTATGGCTTCCACAGGCAACTGGATGCCACATCACCTTGACCTTCGCCTCCTCAGGGAGGTCACCACCACCCAACACCAGCTTGACCCCCTTGCCCTCTTTGTTCTCTCCAGCTCTCGCTGACATGCTATTATATCCTGGTATTTACTGCTGGTCTCCACTGATGGGATTGAAAGTCCACAGGGCAAGGGCCTCATCTGTCCGGCTCATGGCTGCCTCCACAGAGCCCAGAGCAGTTCTGGCAGGCAGATTCTCAATATGTATCTACTGAAGAAATAAATGAGAGAAACTCATTTTATCTCCTCAGCCAGTCTCCCCAGGGAGAGACACAGACCACGACTCAAACTTCTTCTACACAGGGTTGAGAATGTACATTTCCAAAGGAAGTCATTTGCTGCCTTTGTCCCATTCAGCATTGAGTCCTCAGTTTCCCCATCTGTAAAATGATCCCTTTCTGCCCCTCAGAGCCATGGTTGCAGAGGCAATGGGGAGCCCCATTATCTCCCCACAGGGCCCTCACCACCACTTGGAGGTAGGGCCCCAGGAACCCCATGGGCCCTCCTCCTTCCCCAAGGTCCCCTGCAGGGGGCACAGAGCTGACATCCACCTCCCTACCAGTCCCCCCGCCCCTGGAAGCCTCCTCCATACGTTTCTGGATCTCCACGACCTCGCTGGGGTACAGCTCCACCTCCAGGCGCCCGTCCGCCTGGTTCTTGTCCAGCCAGCGGTTGGCAGGGAAGGTGTAGCGCTTGCCTTGGCGGGGCACGCGGATCTCAACACTGCCCAGGAACCAGCCTGCGTGCATGCCTGCGCTGTCATGCCCAATCACCAGCCGATTGATCTGTAAGGAAACCCCAGTGCAGGTGCACAAGGAACCAGGGGCAGAAAACCCCCATGCTCCTACCTGTACCCACCCCCAAACACCAGCACAAACAGCTCCCTTTAGCTGGGGCCTCCAGTCCCCCAGAAGACAGAGGAGGCTCTGCAGGAGAGCCCAGGCCCCAGTCCTGTGCCTTCCATCAGCCAGTAAGGGAAACTAGGGCATCACTTCCTCTGGCTCGCAGCCTCCCTGCCCTCCTCCTGAGTCCAGCTCACCCACAGGGTGGGGGTGTGAGAAACAAGTAGGGGAGCAGACAAGACATGAAGTTGAAAAGCTCTGGTATGTACTTTAAAATCTTAGGTTGTGGCTGCAAGAGAATCTTTGACATGTTCTGTGTCACCTTCTGATAGCTGTGTCACATCTGGTTTGGTTTGATTTGAAACAAGACACTATTGTACATATTTCTGCACTTCTCTGATATGCCCATCCTATAGGTGACAGAATAAGCAGACAGTCTCTCAAGGCTCTGGGGACCTGTGTCTGATCCCCTTCTCACTCCTGCTTCCCAGGAACACTCTGCGGTCCACTTGTCTTGCTGTTTTACATGTTAACATCTTTGCCCACTGGCAATCTAGATGAGAGCACACATGATCCCATCACCACCCTTACAGCTACTTGGCTTTTCAACATGTGAATGGCTTTTCCAATGCTTTGAAACACTGTTTGAGGCGATTTTAATGTCAGGTGGGATTATCAGATGGCCAAGAGCCCTTCCAGGTTGCAGATTCTCTCTCTGATGGTTTGGATGGGTGGTGCCTAAAGACAAGAGTCAGAAGACCGTCCGTGCCAGCCCTGCCCTGGCTCTGCCATGTAAATAGGCGCCATCTTGCAGCTGGAAACGACAACACCACCACAGGCCAGCACAGGTAACCTGGAAACACCAGGAGGAAACCAGTGCTGTGGGCAAGGCCCGAGAGCCTCTGCATTCCTGCCAATGCCAGTGCAGAGCACCGCTGTCCTTCCCTGGTGCCAGGACTGTGAAGGGGAAGGACAGGGGCAGGTGACTTCTGTCTGCTCTGACTGGCAGCTCCCTAAGGGCAGGGCTGTCTTTCCCTGCTGCAGCTTTCTGCACTGGACATGCAGTAACTGTTCGATCACTTCTATTGAGCACTCACTGCATGCATTTGGGTGTTAGTAACATAGCTAACACGACTAACAATCCCATCAGGATTCTCTGCTGTGGTGAAAGAGAAAAATGAGGCAAACGGAGGCTAAGGGACCTGGGCAGGGCAGGGAAGTGGAAATGCAGGGCCTCAGAACAGGCAGTTGGTAGCCAGGACCTGGGCTCCCAACTTCTTGTCCACAATGCTTATTAATGGAGTTTTAGAAGCATGAGGAAGGGCCTACGGGTAGCCCCTCTACCCCTTGCCACTCCCCACCCCTTGGATGTCTCATTTGTCTGCTGACTGCCACCAGAAATCCTTTAGCAATGGGAACAGCACTTTTACTCTACAATTATTGATTCAGTTTATAAATGTAAATACTTTGATCAAGAAAATCCTTCAAAGTTCAGGAACCTCAACGTGTAAATGACTGACATGGGATCTTTCCGCAGTTACGTCTGACAGGAGAGAGACTTCCAGGGCCCAGAGCACCCAAAATATGCGGGAGGGCAGGAAAGATGAGGTGCAGGCAGAGGGCTTGTCACCCTGGCAAATTCCACCAAGCTACACCGCGAGAGGCACAGATGGTAACAAAACCCAGCTCAGACCTTTCTGGAGACATCCCCAGTATTCAAGTCCAGGGTTTAGATCTATGCCTGTCTGAGTGAAGTCAAGAAAGAGCCTCCCCTGACCAAACTCGAGCCAGGCTCCTAAGCCCTGCACGAGCCCCAGCCTTGGGCTGGGAAGATGTGAACAAAACACCAGCACAGCTCTCAGAGCTCAAAGCCTCTTGCTGGGATGACCCTCCCTCCCCTGTAAGTGCTTGCTGAGAAAGCTCAGGACTGTCAGAAGGGTTTACTGTCGGTTCTAGCCAACACCTGAGGACGCAGCCTGTCTCCCAGCCTCTGGGAGGGTAGGATCCAAACCCAGGTGGGTTTCATAGGAGCCAACCTCCCCCTTTCTGCTCTATGTGATTTGTCATTCCCAGACTCGCCTGGGCTCTGCTCACCCTCCTCCTAGTCCCCATTCTCCCTTTAAAATGCCTTGCAAGTCTCCACACAAATCAGCTGAGTTCAGCTCAGGCTGCCTCTTGTCCCTGTCGCAGTAGTGCTTCTCTGATTCAAGGCTGCCTTCCCCTTTCACGCCCAGCTTCGTCTGCCTTTGACTGAGAGCCCAGATCATTTCCAGCAAGGCCACCTGGGAGCCTTGATTGATGGAGATTTGATGGAGATGCTCAGATGCCATCCCCCACGGCAGCCCAGGTGAGGCCTCGCAGTGAGCTCCAAAACAAGCTTCCCGGGTTCAATTCTGGTGCATACCCAATTCTGCACATGGAAAGTACTTTTAGGGCCTCTTTTCCTTCCTTCCTCCTCTCTTTTCCTTCCCTGCACCTGGCATCCCCTTCTCCAGTGTCTGAGACCCAGGCACATTGGTCCTGGCTGTGTAGGTAAAAAAAATGTTGTAGATAAAGCCACTAAAGATAAACATTCCATCCCCAAAGAGACTGCAAGAATAACCACTCTTTTATATCTTCAGCTGCTCTGGGTCATAGCTAGAACATAACATACATGACCAAAAGCCCCCTTTTCCCTTCAAAGAGCACATGTGTGGCGCCCATTGGATATCTGTAGGAGAACAAGAGAAACTATATCACATGATCTTGAGAGGGAAACTTACAGTTCCAATGTTCAGGGTCTCCAGGGTGAACTCGTCCACCCGGCCACGCTCGAAATAGTCTTTGAGGTTGTTATCGGAGACGAGAAGAACCTGCTTGATGGTGTCGGATTTGTCCCCGTAGAGCTTGATGTAGACTTTAGAATCCGTGCTGGCCCCAGAGACATCCCCTGTCTTCACGCTGATGTGATAGCGGAAGTCTGGCCAGCGCAAGGCAGAGGGAGGCAGGGGGTTAGTGCTCTCAGGCAACCAGGAGCGGGGGGCTAGGGCAGAAGGGTCATCTGCAGTGGGGACAGTGGCTGGGAGTCTGGGGTCCATGCCCTGTCTGTGGAGTCCCTTCAACTACAAAAATCACAACTCTGACGGGTGCCCTGCCTGCCCTAGAGGGTATAAATGTGCTGAGAACAGGAAAGTGTGCAAGGCGCAAGCAGGAACACCAAAACCGAAGAGACAGAAAGGACCTCCAGCGATCGCCTGGACCTGTGACAGATGGAAACTGAGGCAAGGAGGGCAGCAACCTTTCCAGACAGTGAGGCACAGTCTTTATGCTCAATGCCTGACCTCCATGGTACAAGCAAGGACTCCTCACTTTATAGCCCCTTCGACAAGCGCTTCTCTTCCCAAGACCTAAAGAGTGGGTGCCATGAGCAAGTATCCTTGGCCTTGCAACTGCTTGGTACATGAGCAAGTGTTCTTGGCCTTGTAACTGGGTGGTCCCATATGCATGCGGGGCCTCACCCGCAAGGCCACAAAGAGACTGTGCACACAAGGACAGACAGACAAGAAACTTCCAGAACGCCCTCTTCCAGAGCCCTCCCCAGCGCTGCCTGCATGAAATGAAGTAGAGAAAATGTCTTCATGGGCTCCTTCCGTTCAGCCAAGGGAGGACACTAGTCATGTTAAGGGCACAGCCACTCGGGACGACTCACTCTTCAGCGTTGCGTTGCTGTCACTGGGCAGCAGCTCTCGGACCAGCTGCCCATCGTCCTTATCCTTGTCCAGCCACCTGGTGGGCAAATGGGGATGTTACACCCTTGAGTAAGTCAGGCAGCACCCAAACCATCATACCATCCATGCAGTCCCCAGCCGACTCAGAGCTTTGAACTTAGCAGAGAACAACGGCTCTACAAGAGCCCCTCAAGCTGGCTGGGGAAGGAGGGCGACCATGAGGAGGTGACATTTGGCTTAGATTTGAAAGGTGGCCAGGAGCCAACCAGAAGAAGAGGGGACAAAGTATCCTGAGATGGAGCAGAAATTCCAGGAGTGGGCAGAAAGATCGTAGAGATGGAACCCAGCAAGGGATGGAGGGGCAGGTGGAGGGGGGGTGGCAAGTGAGGCTGGAGATGAGAACAGGCCACATGACATGGGGCTCTGGTAATTACAGTTTGTTCTAGAATCCTACCATGTGCCCAGCTCTGGGGTGGAAAGAGGCAAAGACACAGTCAGTGACAGCTCCAGTGTAGAGAAGACAAGATGCCCCAGCTGAGGCACTGAGGAGCAAGACAAGGGAGGGGGTGCACTTGAGGAAGCACTACTGGAACTGAGACAAATGGGAGGGGTTCACAGTGAAGGGACTATGAGCTGAGTTCCCAAGGACGAGTGAGATTTACCTTCAAGAGGCAGCTGGGGCTCTGCAATCAGGGCCGGGGTCTGGGAGCTGTGGCCCGTCACCCTGAGGGAGTGAGCCAGTCCCAGCCCCTGCTGCTTACCCACCAGAGGGAAAGGCAATGGCACTGCACTGTCCACCCGAGAAGCCCCTTTCCTGCTGAGCACGGAGCCCCAGACTTGGAAATCAGGCCCCAGCTCAGGCATGAGTGTACTTATAAGGTCAAGCATAAGCCTGTACTCAAGCTGGTTTGTTGAGTCAGGGCCAATGGCAGCAGAAAAGACACCCTCAGTGCTCTCAGGGCATTGGGGAAACCAAGACAATGCCACTGTGTGAACAACCTCCCCATTGGAGGATGCTGTGGTCTTGACTGTGCAGTCCCTCCTGAGGGAGGCGGTGCCTGACCACAGAGCCTGTAGATGACAGGGGCGGGGAACCTCTAAGATCCAAGAAATTATGTGATCCAGCCCCGACAAGGCAATTGCAGGTGGAACTCAAAATTCAATACATGTGTAGCAGACTAATGTTTAAGCTGATAATTGTGTATGCCCCCAGCAGAATAAAGGTTCCCAGCACTGCAAGAAGGCAGGCGACTGCTTCATACGTAGGCCTCCTGATGAGGAGCTCAGCCCTCCCTGGACTGCAGGCTTCCTACTAATATGCCAGTCCTTTCCCAGGGCCAATGGAAACCACGCTGATGTCCCCAGCCCTTCCCTCTCACGCCCTCTCCCTAACACATGACCTCACATCCCACAGGACTTGGCCAGTGGCTGGCTGTTAGCAAACACTAAAATGCTAGTTGTAATACTTCCCCTGGGCTTTGGTGCTGCAAATCTAGAACATCAGAGAAACATTTAAGGGGCCAATGTAGCACCGTGGGTTAAGCCACCACTTGCAACGCTTGCATCCCCTTCAGAGAACTGGTTCAAGACTTGGCCACTTTTCTTCAGACCCAGTTCCCTCCTAACATGCCTGGGAAAGCAGCAGAAGATAGAGCACGTATTTGGGCCCTTGCTGTCCACGTGAAAGACCAGGATAGAGTTCCTGGCTTCGGCCTGTCCCAGACCTGAGTGTTGTAACCATTTGGGGAGTGAAGCAATGGATGGAAGATCTTTCTGTCACTGCCCTCTAAATAAATGAAAGAAAGAAAGAAAGAAAGAAAGAAAGAAAGAAAGAAAGAAAGAAAGAAAGAAAGAAAGAAAGAGAGAGAGAAAGAAAGAGAGAGAGAAAGGAAGAAAGGAAGGAAGGAAGGAAGGGAGAGAGAGAGAAAGAGAAAGTGCTTGTGACTCTAAGATATAGTGGTAAAATTGCAGGTGCAGAGGAGAGGGGAATTTGGAACCAGAGGCTGCTAGCTACAGTCCCCCAGATCAGCCCACCGGGAACTTTCGCTGTGGTCTCCTCTGCTGAGGTTACTCTCACAATTCCCAATCACAGAGACCACAGAGAAAAAGGCCATAAGGTCACCATGGCTGTGTGCTCCCAGGGTTGGGGATGGGGGAAAGCAGCAGGGCCCCTGGACATCAAAGAACTCCATCCACCCTCCCTTCCTGTCTCCACCACTTATCCATCCCCAGCCCCCTCCCGGCAGCGAAAGGAAACCATGACTTGTCATTTCATTTCCACCTAAATACTTGCAGGGTATTAATAGATATCTCCAAATATAGCCATTTTCTTTTAGCTTCAAACACTTCAGCCCAGTTTTGGAGTGAGATGTTGTTGAACGGAGAAGGCAGTCTGCTGGGGGAATTATTGCTCTTTCTCTGGGCTCACAGGAGTATGCAAGTGCAAGCATGTAAGCGTGCGCACGTACACACACACACACACACACACTCACATCCCTGCTGTTGATAAAATGCTTCCCACTCCCTGATCCTAGCAGAGGAGAAGTTCTGGTAAACAGGCCTGTTGGTTGTCCTCCCCAAAGCAGCTGAAATAACTGCTCTGGAGAGGGAAAAAGCCAAGTGTGAGCACAGGCTCCAGGCCCAGGTTCTGCAAGGTCCACCTGGGTCCTGAGTTGGCAACGCCACCTCCATGTGCCTTGGCAAGATGTGAGACTCCGTTTTTTATTTATTTATTTATTTATTTACTTGAAAGTCAGAGTTACAAAGAGAGAGAAGAGGCAGAAAGAGAGAGAGAGAGAGGTCCTCCATCCGATGGTTCACTCCCTAGATGGCCGCAACAGCCGGAGCTGTGCCAATCCATAGCCAAGGAGCCAGAAGCCTCTTCCTGGTCTCCCACGTGGGTGCAGGGGCCCAAGGACTTGGGCCACCTTCTACTGCCTTCCTGGGTCAGAGCAGAGGGCTCGACAGGAAGTGGAGCAGCTGGGTCTCGAACCAGCACCCACATGGGATGCCAGGGCGTCAACCCACTGTGCCACAGCACCAGCCCCAACTCCATTTTCTAAAATAAGCATGAAGCCTTCGGAGTTTGGAGGCAAGGAGGACTCTGGGGTGTTGGGGGGCTAAGCTCCTGATCTGCCCTCACTCAGCCTCAGCTGTTTTAGACCTGGCTCCTTGCAAAGTGGGATATCCTATTTCATCTTCACCATCAATGTACAACATGCAGTGGTCAGAACAGCAGAGAAGTTAAGAGATTCAGCCAAAGTCACCCAACACCCAAGCACCCCTGGCACCAGGCATGTGGCAACGCACAGGGGATACACCAACTGCTTCTGAATTCCATTTCTAGGTCTCCTCACTGCTTCCTAACCTGTCCTGGGGCTTGGTCCCCAGTCCCCAACTCCCCCCCCCCCTCCACCATTCATCATTTCAAGTAGTAGGCATGACCTCTGACTCATCCACCAAAGGCAGAAACCCAAGGTCACAAATTTCCCCTGTCTCTTATTAGCAAATCCTATGAACCCCACCTCCAGAAGCATCTCTGATAAAGGCCCTTATTACCACCTCCTTTGCCACTATCAAGGGCCATGCTGGGTATAGACTTGTGCTGATGTCCCAACCCCAGGGTCTCACAATGAAGGTGGCCTTATTGGAAATAGGTTCTTTGTAGATATAACCAAGTTAAAGTGAGGTCACTAGGATCGGCTCTAGTCCAATGTGACTGGTGGTGTTATAAAAAAATAGGGGGAGGGGGTGGAATTAGAACACAGCAAAGGATAAGTACAAAGGGAAGGCGGAGTGAAGAGAGGCAGGGAAAAAGGGCCATGACCACAACAAGGAACTCCTGACCCTTCCAGGAGACAGGTGTGGAGCAGATCCTGCTCAGAGCCATCAGAGGATTGTTAACACCACGATTCTGACCTTCCAGTCCCCAGAGTTGTGACACAATAAATCTGCATTGTTTAAGCCATCCAGTTTGAGGTACCTGGCTATGACAGTCCTGGAAGACCAAGACACCACCCCAGACTCTGTGAAGCCTCCTACCTGCCACGCTGTTTCCTCCCTGGACCCCCTGCATCCTGTGGCCTCCACCCAGAAGGCAGATCTTCCTCAGGCGTGAGAGGCCACCACGCCTGCCTGGCGCTGGTCTCTGCCTCTGTCCTCTGGGAGACTTCTCTTTCTCTATTGCTTTGATCTCCATGGACTAGAGAACACTCACGCTCATTATCCTCCTACTCTCCTTTTCATCCTGCACCTGAATGTCCCTCTGCAGACCGTCCCTCCCTCTCTGTCCTGTTGTCTTGGTGAGGCCCTTCCCATCAGCCTCTTCTGCCACTGTGTGTTCCCTGCACAGCATTCCTCATGGTTCCCTCTAGACTGCAGTCTCCCTGAAGACAGGGAGCAAAAATTCAGCAGGTGCAGACAGAATAGAAAAACAATAAAGGCTCCTCCATCCAGTGTACGGCCAGTCTGCCTCCCCATCCACAAGGTGAGTGAACAAGTCAGTGGCTAACTTGAAGGAGACCCTACTCCCCTCACCGGTCCCTTGGCTTGAGACTGAGGGCTCACCCCAGGCCTTCTTCTGCCCCATCCTCCTCCTCAGTCGTTCCCCATGTGCAGGGCACCTCCTGCCAACCTCTGCACGAGCCTCGCCCTCAGTCCTCTGCCCCTTGTCCCATGTACTGCTCCAGCCCACATGGCCCATCTCCCATCTCTATCAACTTTCTGATGCCCCTTCCAGGCCCAAGTCTGGTTCCGCTGCTTCCTGGAAGCCTGCCCCAGGTTTCCCAGCCCTCACTCAGCCTTCCCCTGTCAGTAGGGCTCATTTGGAACTGCCTGCATTATTAGCCAGCTTTTCAGTGTCACTCCCTGTAATACCAGCAGTGGCTATAGCTAGAATACTATAGAGCCTTTTGTCATTGACAAAATAATTCACAATCATCCCCTCCAGGGCTAGGGAACGGTCTACCTGGGCTTGTAGGTGGGGAGCAATGCAGCTGTAGTTACGTGTGTTCAGGAATGCACCTGCGTGCATTTGTGCAGCAATGCATTTCCCACTGGGCTGCTGTGCACACATCCCCTTTAGTGCAGCCGGCCTCAGGATGCCCTGCGCCAGCCATGAGGTGCACACACAGCAGCTTATTGACAGATGCAGAATGAAGCCCTGGAACTGGGATTTGAAGAGCCAGGAGGGCACCAGGCCCCCAGTTAATCCTACTGTCTGCACCTCCCAGACACTGCTGTGAGTGGAAATGAAAAGCAATCAGATGGCACAAAAACCACAGTGTTTCTGGTCTTAAAATGTCTCATCAAGGACTTCTGGAAGTCAAGGAGAACCAAAATTTGCTATGAAAGGAATCTAAATTCTTAAGACAAAAAGGGAGAAGAAACTTTACCTTACTAATAAGTTGAGGAAAGAAAACGAAAACAAAGCAAGATATCTTTAAAATATGTTAACAAGGAGGAGATGTGGTCAGAAGTTAAAGAAATAAAAAACACTTTCAATTCGAATGTTTAGTTTGGCATGGAACCAACTTTCTAGGTTAGTTAAATTTAGAAATTGTCCATTTTGATGCCACTTGGGATGCCCACAATTCAGAGTGCCTAGGTTTCAGTCCCAGCTACACCCCTCATTCCAACTTCCTGTTAATGCATACCCTGGGGGGCAGCAGGTGATGATGCAAGTACCTGGGCCCCTGCTACCCCTGGACTGAATTCTAAACTCCCAGCTTCAGCCCCTAGCCCAGGGCCATTGGAAATGTTTGAGAAATGAGCCAGTGGATGAGAGCTCACTCTCTCTCTCTCTCTCTCTCTTCCTTCCTCACTCTCCATCCCTCCCTCTCAAATAAATACATAAATATCAAAGAAACTGTCGGATTTTATTATGAAAAATCCCTACCTTTGGTATAAAAGTCGAGCCTAGGACACCCCACTAATGTGTCATCAGTAGGAGGTGGGGTCAGGGCATGAGACCAAGGAGTAAGTGACACTAGCAAGGTCACATGGTTCCCACACCATCCACAGCCTTGAACTTCTATGTTGCTCCCCAGTCTAGGTAGTAGGACTGGGACTTCCCCAAACTCGGGGATCATAGCCTAAGCTGGAGATCATGAAAGCAGGTGGGACTCGGGTACCTGAGACAGGGGAACTCCACGTTGTCACTCTCGGGCTGCCCCTCCTCTCTCACCAGCACCCGGTCCAGGTACCAGCCGCTGCCCGAGCCTTTGCCATCGTGTCTGATCCTCACCCGCCTCACCTTCCGCATGGTCACAGACTCAATGGTGAACTCGTCGGCCTGCAGCAGGGAAAGGCAGGAAAGCTGGCTGGGTGGTGACTGACCTGGCACCCAACAACCGAGGGAAGACTCAGGCCCAGAAGTCAGACAAGTCAGAGCTGATGGTTTGGGGTCTTGCCTTTCCCAGATGAGACAGGGGCTGCCTATAGAGAATACGCTCCACTCCCTGCCCCCAATTTTCCTAGCAGAATGTCTTTCAAGTCAAGTTCCCAACCCTTAAGGCCTGCATTTGTTGGTGAACCAGGGGCCATTCCCCACGATGGCCTTTTAAAAGGCAGCTTCCCCTGGGAGGAAGAATGTATTAAGCTGTTATCAGTTGTTCACATTTATCATGAACTACTTCCTTGGCTAACCTCCTCTGGTCTGTGCTATAGGGGGATACTGGTCTTCTCCCCAGAGGGGAATGACTGGGATTGGGGGTAGGGGTGGCGGTGTGTGTGGCAGGAAGGTGTGCTTGTGAATTGTACAGTTTTGTCTACCACTGAGGCAGCAAAAATGCAGTAAGGACACTAAGGGTGGGTTTGATGGACAAGAAGTGAGGAGCTATGGGAGGAAAAGAGCAGGAAAGAGTGAAGAGGTGGGCAAGTGGGAAGGAGAGAGGCAACGTGGAAAGCTATGTGCAGGAAGGTATCCCCACCTCCTCTCTCCACATGAACCCACCTCCACCCACAATATCCCTGCTTGGGCTATTCTGCACCACAGCTTTCAAATGGCTCTGATCCCAAGAACCAAGCCAGCTCTTGGACTGGCCCCAGAAAGAGGCCTCTGCTCTCATGCCAGGGCTCGCCCTGCACTCACCAAGGAATGGACGACAGAGAAATGGCAGTCTGCAAATCCCTGTCACCTGCCAGCTCCCTTGAGCCTCGTGTTACTGCAACAGTGACCCTTTCCTGAGCATCCGCTATGTGCCGTGGGCCAGGTCTGACCCCAGAGGCTGTATACCCGCCACCCTAATCCTCACAACAGGCAGCCACAGACAGGCATCCTCCCTTGCTTTGTAAAGGAAACCAAGGCTCAGGGAACAGAATGATCGGCCCAAGGCTGGGTTTCCCCGGACCTACTCGACTCTTCCCGCCACTTCTCCACAAGCTTCCCCAGTAAACTCATCTAATGGCTGGGAAACAGGGAATACCCAGCACGTTCCAGTGAGCCCAGTTCTTCCACCCCCATCTTTCTTGTTTTCTCTTACAAAGAGGACAGGAAGAAGATGCCCCAGCAGCCACAGCGCGGCATGGGGAGGGGCCCATGACCTCTCTGTGGTGGCTCTCCAGCTCCCTGCTTAGAATTCTGAGCAGTGTCATGTGTTGTTAGTGAATTATGGTGGGCCAAATGCCAGAGACTGAGTAGACTGGCTGTGAAGGAGGCTGTCTGATGGTAGGGGGCCCAGTACCCACTACAGTCACCAGCTGGACTCCTACAGAGCAGGGAAGACCAGGGAACAAGGGATGGGAAGTGAGGCGGGGGAAGGGGAGTAGGGGTGCCTGGCTGTGACTTACATTGCCCTTCTCGAACAGGTCGGTGTTATTCCTGCAGTTGTAGAGCAGCCGCTCCCCTGTGTCCCCCACATCACCATAGAGGCAGAGGTAGACGTTGGCATCGGTTCCCGCACCTTCAAGTTCCCCTGTGCATACGGTCACCCGGTACCGGGCCACTGGCAGGCAGAGAGAGGGACACCATTAGCTACACTACTACCTCCACCTCTAAGCTCTGCCTCCCCTTCTCTCCACAGTGCTCACCTGGGCTGATCTTGCTCCTTCCCTCCTCTAACTGTCCAGATCCTGCTGCATGCGGGCATCAACAGCTGGCTCACCCACAAGGCCCTGTGCCCCAGCAGACCAGAAGCCCCCACCTTGGCCAAGCATTGGAATCTGTGGGAAACTTCTATAAGAATTCAGATTCCTGTGTTGTGGCACAGGAGGTTAAGCCATAGCCTGCAACACCAGCATCCTATATGGGTGCCGATTCATGTCCTGGATGCTCCACTTCCCATCCAGCTCCCTGTTAATGGCCTGGGAAAAGCAGCAGAGGATGGTCCAAGTATTTGGGTTCCTGCTATACATGTAGGATACCCAGATGAAGCTCTTACTTCCTAGCTGTGGCCTCGCTCTAGCCTGGTGTCCATCTGGGGAGTGAACCAGTGGATGAAAGCCTCTCTTTCTCTCTCTCTCGCTCTGTGTGTGTGTGTGTCTTTCAAATAAATAAATAAGTCTTTAAACAAAAGAATTCAGATTCCTCAGCACCCTTTCAGATTTCCCAAATCTTAATTTCCAGAGATGAAACTCCTAAAACTGAATTGTTTACAAGCTCTTTCAGGATGCCCTGATGGAGGTGGCCCAGGTTTGGGGATCACCAGTCTAACCCAAACATTTTCCATCCAACCCAATAAACTCTTTTCCTTAGGTTGTTCTCCACTTCCTATGTGTCCTGTCTCCCCAAGTAAGATATCTTTTCTTATTGAGCCAGAATGGAGCCTTCCCCTTCTCTTCAGAGCACTGCAATGCTAAGGGCACACCAGGAAGAGAAGTCAAGAGGAAAGTATAAACCACAACCACTGTTGAAAGGACAATGACTTCTTCCAGTATTGACGGTGTACCATGGAGGAAGTGGACTTGCACCCCTGCATACCACAGCCCTTCTCGCTTAAAAGATGCAAAGTCACTTTTACTCCTTCATTCATCCCAAATCTGCTTACTGAAGGCTCGTGGGTGCTAGGTGCCATTATAGTGGCAGGAATCCAGGGGTAAACAAAACACACATATGTCTACACCCTTGAGCTTCCATTAGAGTTGAGCGTAAGAGGAGAGAGCAGAGATGGGCACTAAAATCATAAGAAAATTGTGGATAGGAGTATTTCTGAGTTACATGCGTATCAGAGACAGTATAACGGAGGAGTTGTCGCAGAGTGGAGTGGGGTGTGACTGAGCACAGGAGGCTCATCTGGAGATGCAGCAGAGTTTGCAGCAGGAGGTAATGTGAAGATTAGGATCTTAATGACAGGAGACAGCCATAGGAAGTTCTAAGAGAAGAGAGTTCTGGTAAGTGAAAGGTCCGAATGTGGCAATGACCAATGTTTGTTCCAGCAGCAGAGAGGCCAATATGACTGGAGAGGAAAGAATGGGAGGGGATGTGCAGTGAGGCCAAGAGGTGGACAAAGACCAGACATGCGGAGTATGACAAATCAAGACAAGAAATGTGGCTGCTGCTTCTTTTTCACACATCAGGAAGCCATAAAGGAGCTTTATCCCAGAAAGCAACTTGATCTGATCTGTCTTGAAGGGCACTCTGGCTGCCATATGGGCACTTGATTGTAGAGGGGAAAGGACAGCAACGGAGAGGCCAGTTAGTAGAATACTTATAGTTGTCTAGAAAAGAGAGGATGGTGTCCAGAACTGAGGGTATACTAGAGATGGAGAGAGGTCTATGAATCAGCAACATATTTTGTTTTCAAAATAATTTATTATTAATTTTACTTATCTGAAGATAGGAGGGAGACAGACAGACACTGACAGAGACAGGTTTCTCATCTGCTAGCTCGCTCCCTAGATGCCTGCGACAGCCAAGACTGAACCAGGCTGAAGTCAGGAGCCAGGAACCCAATCCAGGTTTCCCATGTGGATAGCAGGAATCAAGGACTTGGGCCAACACCTTTCGCCTCTCAGGGTGAGCATTAGCAGGAAGCTAGAATTGAGAGCAAAGCCTGGACTCCAACCCAGGCATTCCAGTATGGGATAGAGTGGTCCCAAGTGGTGTCTTCACTGCTGGGCCAAATCCCACCTCCAGGAATGTATTTTGGATGCAGAGCCAGCAATTCTTGGTGATGGAACAGATAGGTGATTGTGGGAAAGATAGGAACCAGGGGTGACTCATAAGTATTTGGCCCGGACCAGTAACTTGATAGAGTTGCCAATCAGAAGTAGGGGAGTCTGGGAGAAGAATAGATTTGGAGATAGGAATTAACAGTCTTTTCTGTTCATTACAAACTTGAGATGTCTATCAGACATTTAAAACAGAGGTTAAGAGGGCAGTTGAATTTATCTGGAGTATTAGGACTGGTGCTACAACTTTGCTCATCATAGGTGTAAGGATTCTGTTTAAAAGCCTAGAACCAGGTGATATTCTCTATGGTGTAGAGGTTCACAATGATTTAAAGAATATTTGAAGAAATTAAGGTCAAATTTGAAGAAAACATGAATCTTCATAATCAAGATGCTCAATGAACTCCAAATAGAAAAAATTCAGAGAGATGTACATATCAAACTCTTCTTTTTAGTGCTGTTTGAGAACACAGGTTCTCTTTTCTTTAAAATAAAGAAAAAGATCTATTTATTTATTTTGAAAGGTACAGTGACAGCAAGAGAAGGAGAAATAAAGAGATCTTCCATCCATCATCACTTCAATCCCCAAATGGCCATAACAGCTGGGGCTGGGTCAGGTCAAAACCAGGAGTCCAGAGCCCCACCTGGGTCTCCCACATGGAAGAAAGGGGCTCAAACACTTGAGCCATCCTCTGCTGCTTTCCCAGACAAATTAGCATGGAGCTGGATAGTAAGTGGAGCATCCAGGACTATAACCAGCACTCCAAAATGAGATGCTGGTTTTGCAGGTGACTGTTTAGCTTGTTGTACCAGAATTCCAGCCCCACAATAAAACGGTTGAGATCCAAAGACAGAAAATTTTGAAAGGATCGACAGAAAAGTGACTCATTATACATAAAAGATCCTCAATAAAATTAACAGCTGACATTTCATCAGACACTATGGAGGCCAGAAACAGTGGGATCTATGAGGACACTTCATAACTTTCATGGAAATGCATATTATTTAAGAACTGTGGGGTCGGAGCTGTGGCATAGCAGGTAAAGCTGCTGCCTGCAGTGCCAGCATCCCATGTGGGTGCTGTTTTGAGTCCCAGCTGCTCTACTTCTGATCCAGCTCTCTGCTATGGTCTGGGAAAGCAGTAGATGATGGCCCAAGTGCTTGGGCCCCTGCACCCATGTGGGAGACCCGGAAGAAGCTCCTGGCTCCTGGCATCAAATTGGCACAGCCACAATGGCTGGAGCTGGGCCAATCTGAAGCCAGGAGCTTCTTGTGGGTCTCCCATGCAGGTGCAGGGACCCAAGTACTTGGGCCATCCTCCAATGCTTTCCCAGGCCATAGCAGGGAGCTGAACTGGAAGATGAGCAGCTGGGACATGAATTGGCACCCATATGGAATGCCAGCACCACAGGCAGAGGTTTAGCCTACTACACCACGGCAATGGCCCCTGTGCTGGAGGTTTTAGCTAAGGAGATAAGATATAAATATAAGAAATAAAGAGAAGGCCGGCGCTGTGGCTCAATAGGCTAATCCTCTGCCTTGTGGCGCCAGCACACTGGGTTCTAGTCCCAGTCGGGGCTCCGGATTCTGTCCCGGTTGCCGCTCTTCCAGGCCAGCTCTCTGCTGTGGCCAGGGAGTGCAGTGGAGGATGGCCCAAGTGCTTGGGCCCTGCACCCCATGGGAGACCAGGAGAAGCACCTGGCTCCTGGCTGTGGATCAGTGCAGTGCACCAGCTGCAGCGTGCCGACCTCAGCGGCCATTGGAGGGTGAACCAACAGCAAAGGAAGACCTTTCTCTCTGTCTCTCTCTCTCACTGTCCACTCTGCCTTTCAAAAATAAATAAATAAATAAATAAATAAATGCCAGCGCTGTGGCATAGCAGGTAAAACCGCAGCCTGCAATCAGTGCCGGTTCATGTCCCAGCTGCTCCACTTCTGATCCAGCTACCTGCTAATGTATCTGGGAAAGTAGTGGAGGATGGCCTAAGTGCTTGGGCTCCTGCACCCATTTGGGAGACCCACAAGAAGCTCCTGGCTTCAGATCAACCCAGATCTAGCTGTGGCAGCCATTTGAGGAGTGAACCAGTGGATGGAAGTTCTTTCTCTCTCTTTCTCTCTCTGCAACTCTGCATTTCAAATAAATAAATAATTTTTTTAAGTATAAAGAGAACCAAGTTGGAAAAGAAGTAGTAAATCTCTACCCAGATTACATGGTTGTATATTTAGAAACTCATAAGGAATCAACCAAAAAGCTATTACAACATTAAATGAGCTCATAAAATTATAGAGTACAAAATCAATATATCAGAATAAATTATATGTCTATTCTTTTGCAATGAACAATCTGAAAATGAAATTAAGAAAATATTTCTGTTCATGATGGCATCATAAATTATCAGATATTTAAGAATAAATTTAACAAAGCAAGTGAAAAACTTATAAAACCTACCAAACATTATTGAAAGAAATAAAAGGTCTAAATAAATGGAAAAACACTCCAAGTCCACAGATTGAAAGGCACAGCATTGTTGGGACGGCAACACTCTCCAAACTGACCTACAGATTCAGTGTAATCCCCAACAGAATCTCAGCTGACTTCTTTGCAGCAATCAACAAGCTGATTCTAAAATGCACGTGGAATTGCCAAGGACGCAGAATAGCCAAAACAATCCTGGAGAAGCGTAATAAAAAAGAAAAACAAGAATCGGGGACAAGGTGGAGACACTGGGTCTCTCACACACTCCTGGTGAGCGTGCGAAATGGTGCAGCCATTTTGAAAAACAGCTTGGCATTTGCTTTAAAAGTTAACTGAAGAGTTACCATGAGGGCCAGCAATT